GAAAATCCGGCTGAAAGCAGTTTTCACCAAACTTATCCAAAGTCAAGAGCACACCGCATAACTAAACAACACCAACACCCAATGCACACACACATACACACACACATACTCACACACACACACACACACACACACACACACCGCCAAACAAAGAAGCAAAATAATGTACATACACGAGCAAAATATGGTCGGCCGAGTACTGGTACTGAATGAAGGGTAAAAGAGCACCGCAGCAGCAACAAGAACAACAACAACAGTAGTAGTAGCAACAACAACAACCACAATGGCAAATAAATAAAAATGCAATCAAAATTGAAGCAGTGGGACAGAAAGAGTCAGAGCAGCATAGTTCGAGCGAGAAGGCAGACATTTGGCTGGCAATTTCGTGCACGCGTCGCATTTAAATGCAGTGCACGTGGCGTATGCGCAATTTTTCCTTCTTTTTCGCTTCAGACTGAAACTGTTTCTGTTTTTGCAGTCTATCAATGACAATGACACATAAAAATTCCAATGTGTAAATGCTGGTCGCAAGTTTCTGCATCTATTACTATAATTTCTTCAATTTACAGAGCCCCTGTCACAAGAACCTTGCCTGTTGAATTGAAATTAGCGAAACACAATTAGCTAAAATTCTTAAATATGCAAATATTAATTATGAAACTATCAAATAATTTGAGAAGCCGCTTTCTGCATGTAAAATGTAGCTTGTTTGCTTACCTAAATTATGTGAAGTCTTTAATTATCAAATCAGACTTTTGATTGAATAGTTCTGCAATAACAACTAAGCTATATGCACATATTAAAAATCAAGAATGTGTCTTTTCATACCCTGTACCGAAGAGGTGAAGAGGGTATATAGTATACTATAAGGCAAATAATCTAATTGACAGGACAGTAACATTCTCTCTTGCTTTTAAGTGGAAACCCAAAGACGAGTGACCGCACTTCGAAATACTCTGTAGTAGATACATATATGCTTGTCTATGTTTGAGCATGTGCCCAGTATAGAGTTAAGCCAAAGCAGCAACAACAACAACAGCTGCGGGCAGAGATTACATTTATGGCTATAACTTCCTTTCAAACTGACCTATACTCGATATGGATATAGCCATGTCCCTCTGTAGGGAGGCACGGTATTTTATAATCCCACTACATTTAGGTACAGGTTTAAAAATGATCAACATTTTTTTATAATTACATTTTTAAGCAATGTGAATTAACTTGAAATTCATATCTACATTACAAAATAGATTATGTAAAACACGAACTGTACATACTGTGTGCCTATATCCGGCTATGTGTGCAGTACGGAATTGAGTCGAAGCAGCTATAGCAACAACTGATATTACATTTATGGCTATAACTTCCATTGGAGTTAACTTTCTAAGATGAAAGATTGCATAACACATAAGCACTATAAATTACATTAAGAATCACGGGAGCTAGGGAAAAATCACTAATAGCGGGGAATGTGGATGCATCAGAAACAGGTTAAAATATTGTATAAGGTTAAAATAAAAGTCAAATGAAATACATGTGCAAATACAATCGTTTTGATGATATACTCGTATGTATTATGCTTTCACCCACATTTTTGCAATCTGTTTGTATAAGCTTCTAACTAATTAGGCCCGCACATATTTTAAGTTAAGTGCAACATTTACAAAATAAATTGGTATTCGAAATACGAGCTACCGTCTCTATGACTAACACCCCTAAATTAGTTCTCATTATTACAGAGACACGCTCCAAATACAGTGAATGCGATCATTTGTGAAAAATGTATTCACGTCAACTCAGGTACATGCAATGATTTTTAGAGGCGATTATAAATTATATTCATAATTTTGCATGGAAACTACATGAGTCGTTTTTGTGGGACAGAAAAATGTATATGTGTATAAGAATGTTCTTAATTGCCAAAGTTGAATGAGTAAACATTTTACATGTTATATAGCTTCATTTAAAAGTACCCAAGTTTTTATAAAGCTAACACAATTGGTGAGTCCTTAATTTAAATAAGACAAGGGCGTGTGGCCTAGAAATGGAACTGCAGTGGTCAGGTTGGAAAACCACCCCAACTATAGCCAAACTAACATCTTAATTTCAATTGCAAACATTCAACAACCTCTTAAATGTGGTACAGAGTCTGCTTATTTCTATAAGCACTACAATAAGTACATTTGCAAGGGTATATAAGCTTCGGTGCATCGCTCCGAATTAAACGTTGTACATACTTGTTTAAAAATAGAACTAACCCATTAATGCCAGTTAAATTTCGCATAAAACGAGAGCTGGTGGGCAATATTTAAAATTCAATTTGTTTTTGATTCGCTCGCGAGACGAAGAACCGAGTTCATTCATCCAGCTTTTTTCCTTTTCCACATTTTGCGCTTCCGCATTTGCAGTGGTCATAATAACCAGACCATACCCGCCGACATCAAAGCATTAAAAGTGAGAGTGTGTCGCCGCTGTCTGCATTGTCGTTGTTATTGTTGTCCATTTAATCATTGCAAATTTTATGCAATCTGCTTTTCAGTATCGCTGCTGTGTGTATATGTGGTTGTTGATCTTTTTATAAAGCCCTACACATGATGGTACATATGTACCTATATGTATGTACATAAATAAATACGTATGTATGTACATGTAGGCAATCGGATCATGTCAGGCGTTATTTTCATAATTCTTTTGATTAAATCGCAACGCGCGACTAACAGTGCATTGACTTTTGTGTATCGTGTGCTATTTATATAGACGGTATTAACTTGTGACTACATTGCTGCATATGTAAGCTTTACAATATTTGAAGTTGATTGTGCGTCAACAGATAGTAGAAAAGTACCAGAATTTACCTTAAAAAATGCTTAGTTTTATATTATTTCTTGTATACTATATACTGAGCACGTAGGCCGCTTCAACTGATAGCATTTGTTTTTTCGTTTTTCTTTTATTTTTGTTTTTGCATTGTTATTTTATTACCTTGGCCATCGGCCGCTCGAAAAACCGGTAGAAGTTGCAACAGTTCAAGGCTTTCAGTTTATGGTTGCTAAAGTTTCCTTCTTTGTTTCTTGTAAACAAGCAAACAATGGCTACATACATGATTAATATCAGTTGCTAACTGCACTTGAAATTTATTGTTAAAAAAAAAAAAAAACATTTTTCCACGCAATGTGAGTTTATTTTTCATTGTTTTGATTATTTTAAATATATGTATTTGTCGTTTGAATAACGCGCTGTAGCTCTCATTCTGCGTGCCCAGTGGCAACGCTACTAACTGGCCACTTTGTTCGAATTATCCTCATCATGATTCTTTTCATAAGTGATTTTGAAATTGCGATCCAAATGTATACGTAGTACTTCAATTTTATACAAGTACCTTACATTTTACGATTTGTTTTACCATAAATAATGTTGTATCACTAACCATACATATGTTGTATGGTTAGTGGTTGTATGCACATTTCAATTATTGTGATAAAGTCGCAGTCACGCAATTACTGCTCATCTCTAATAGCATTGGTCTCGTGCGTTTTGTTTGCGGGCAGATATTGACACTATTTTGTTTTTTACGATGTCTGAACAAACTGTATTACCAACAAATAAACTCCTAGTAAAGAGCATGCCCTGCGATATCCACGAGTTCGAGCAGCTGCTGCAAGAACTGAAACTGGCAAAGCCACGCGTTGTGCACCCATTTGGACGCCGGCGCGTGCTGCTCGAATACGATAGCATGAACGATGCTGAAACGGCGCTTACTGAGCTCCAGGACGTCAGCAAGCTTCTGGACAGGCCTTTGCGAGTGAGCACCTTCGGACCACGTCCCAATGCAGATTGCACCAAGAAGGCTGCAAATCGTGCCAACAAGTCCACCCAAGCGACACCCCCAATAATTATGTCGACTCTGCACCAAAACAACAGCAAGTACGTGGAAAAGTTATATGCCAGTAACCATCAATGCAACTTTATGCAGCCACCGCCGCCATATCTGCGCTATGCCTATCCGCCCATCACACCCGAAATCCAGGCCGCCATAGGCTCCGCGTTAAAGAATAATACGCGTTTCTACACGCAGGTGCTGCATCTTATGAATCGCATGAACCTGGAGCCGCCTTTCGGTAAGCGACCGGCGCAACTACTTTTGCATTCTGGTAAACAGAGCGTGGCCACGCAGACGGAGCAGGAAAGTGAGAGCGAGAGCGAACTAGAAACCTCAGCGGATGAAGCTCAGCGTCCAAAGTGTGAGAAGCGCAAAGTTCCCAATATCAACAGCGAACAATGTCGTAAGCGTGCACGCCAAATGCTGCAACAGGCTGCAAATTTAACACGCCCGGCAGTCGGGAGACCAGAGTCTGAGTGTACCACTCCAATTGTACTTACTGCACAAAAGATTGAACTGAAAATACCTGAAAAGCTGACGAAGCCAGCATTAGTTGACGTGACGCCTGCGACTATTCCTAGTCGACGTTTATCTCTAACTGAATTGCAAGCTTTGCCCGTTTACAAGAACTACAATGAAGGAACTCCAAGCAATAAGCTGTACATCAAAAATCTTGATAAGAATGTGGACGAAGCACAGCTGAGAATGCTCTATGCACGCTATACTGCAGCCGATAATTTGGATATCAAAGTTATGCAGCAGGGTCGTATGAAGGGACAGGCCTTTGTCACATTCACCAACTTGGGTGAAACGGAACGGGCGAGTGTGTTGGCACAGGCTTTAGCCGAAACTAACGGCCTATTGTGGCACCAAAAGCCCATGATTGTATGCTATGGGAGACAGTAAAGGTTAGGCCTATTTCTTGAAAAAGACTGCAATTAGATATTGCTTTTGAATTGGCATCGCGAAAACTTTAGACTTGTGAACCCAGTGCCAGCTGGCACACATTTGAAAATTATTTTAAGTTCACCCATAAGTAGAGATTATATATAGCATAAGACAAACAAAACAAAATGCACGTGTTGCTCACATTTTCTCACAACTTGTTAAATTGTTGCAGACAACTTGGCCTTATTGATACAATTTATGTGGATGGTGCACAAGCAAATGCCGAGCAGCCGCACAACGCTGACGCACAGGACGAAGAAGATAACGACTTGGTAACGCACACATCACCAGCTATTACAGTGCCAACGGGAAAGACAAAAAAATCTCGCAAATCTAAGCAGCTAGCTATGCAACCGTACAGTTATGTGATCGCCGTAGACTTTGAGGCCACCTGCTGGGAGAAACAGGCACCGCCCCAGTGGCGTGAAGCCGAAATTATTGGTAACACTAATACACAAAGCTAACAAGAACATAAATCTTTTATTAAGGTATAATTTTATTTGCCACGCAGAATTTCCCGCCGTGCTGGTCAATCTGAAGACGGGCAAGATTGAGGCCCAATTTCATAAGTACGTGATGCCCATAGAGTCCCCACGTCTGAGCAGCTACTGCATCGAACTGACGGGCATACAACAGAAGACCGTGGACAATGGTGTGCCTCTCCAGACAGCACTTACGATGTTCCACGAATGGCTGCGCAAAGAGTTGCGTGCACGAAATCTGACGCTGCCCAAAATGCGGAAAGACAACATACTGGGGAACTGCGCATTTGTCACATGGACCGATTGGGATTTCGGCATCTGCCTTTCCAAGGAGTGCAGTCGCAAGCACATACGCAAGGCGTACTATTTCAATCAGTGGATCGATGTACGCGCCATATATAGGCAGTGGTATAAATACAGGCCGTGCAATTTTAGCGATGCCCTCACGCATGTCGGACTCACATTCGAGGGACGTGCACACTCAGGCATTGATGACGCCAAGAACCTGGGCGCACTCATGTGCAAAATGGTACGCGATGGCGCACTTTTCTCCATAACCAAGGATCTGACGCCATATCAACAGCTGAATACCAACTGTGGGTTGTGAGCAGCCCAACAGAATCCAAAGAAAAATGCACTTAGTGACTTTCAGGATTCCAATACTGATTTACTCATTAATATGTTTGGCCGGCATACAAAATCAATGTAATATAGCTATAATTATATATTCATTATGCATCAATTAATGCCCTGACAACGTTCTACAAAAATTCTTTTATAATTTTATGTTTTGTTTTTGATAACTGCAATTGATAAGACTTGAAATTTTGTAAACAAAATTTTGTAAATGCCATTAAAAATATTTGAGCAGGCTGCGAATTCTAGATTGGCCCTTCATTTTAACAAACTATATTCGCACCTGTGCAGCAACAATGCTTTCATTATACTTAATTCATACTCGTAAAATACATTAGAGCATATTTTTCTACAATTCATATACTTTATACTTCATAATTGTAGTCTATCTCGTACTATATACATTCAACGCAATACTTACATACATATGTAAACGACTTACATGGCCTACCATTTGGGTTTTAGCCTTAAATGCCTAACTAATAAAACGACAATAGCGATATGAATTTTTACCACAATATTATTTTGTGTCCCTTTTTTCAATGCGTGCCCAACTACGGTGAGATCTTCTCTGCCAATTGTATTACTGCCTTTTCTCCAGTCAACATCCACCTAGAGTCCTCTTCCCTTATAAAACTCATTGTGTAATCCTGCATTCCACAAAATATGTTCGATTTGATGACACGCAGTGAGCAAATACTAGTGGGCAAAAATCCTGAAAGAAAATGTAAAATTCTTATTCTTATATTATATAAGTGGAGAAGCTAAAGTCGGCTATCCCGACTTTGAAATACGCTGTAGTGCAATTAAACAAATTTTAAAAAAATTAGGGATATTCATCTAAGGCATCTTTAACTAAATATTCGCCGAGATCTAGATGATTATACGAACGGCGTTGCGGAAAAAATAAAACAAACTCGTACTGCGTACACTTATAAGGCACCTGGGTACGAAATTTTGTTTCTATAGGTATTATAGTCTTTGAGATGCAGGTGTTCATACGGACGAACAGACAGGGCTAGATTGACTCGTCTTATGCTGTCAAGAATACACATACATATATATTCTTGTGGGGTCTGCCACGCTTTCTGCCTGTTATATTTTTAACTTTTCGCAAACCTAATATATTCTTTTACATTTCATGTACAGAGTATAAAAATTAAATAAAAAACAAAGTTGTCAGAAGTGGGATTCGAACCCACGCCCTCAGAGAGGACCAGAACGCTCATTCGAACCCTTCTGTGAAAGGCAAGACTGTAGAATCTTGAGTCTGGCGCCTTAGACCGCTCGGCCATCCTGACATGTTGTTGTCAGATATTGGAGAACGTGTTAATATATGAATACACGTAAGTAAAAACTATTTTTAGCAGCGACTCATTATTTCACAGCAAATGTAGTGTATATACGTATCTACTAGAAATACGGATTTGTAATCAGTAATCAACAATTACGCACGTTAGTTCCGGAATGTGAAGTTGATATACCCTCCAAATAATTGTCCAATGTAAAAAATATGACTGCTTTGCTGTATCAGATCAGATTTAGGATTTAAAATGGCTCGAATTGAACTAAACAAAATTATAATAAATAATATAATAAATAAATAACGGACAGGCAGACAAGGCTAGATCTACTCATTTTGTCATGTTGATCATGAATATATATTCCTCGTGAGGTATTCCACGCCTCCTTCCTTTCTCACTTTAGACAAACCTGTACCTTTCAGATATATTAAATAATTGACAGAAAAAATCATGATTTAGACTCGTCTCGTCATGCTGATCAAGCTGTATGTTCCCCTATGTATTATTACCTACCCGTTAGGAAAGGTGTTAGAAGCATACACAACAGGAACAATATACTTACTTGTATTCTTTTAAGTGATGAATATTCAAATATATAAATCAAATGTTGATGTATGAAAAGGCTTTCAAGTGAAAGATCAAAGCTCTTAGTCTCAGTAGGGTGTATAGGTAGCGAGTCATGGAAGAATAAAGTTTTTGTTGTAAGTGTACAATTTGGTTGATATAGCTACAGAAACAAAGAAGTTATTGAACTAAATGAAAGTTGTAGTAATGTACTTTTAAATATCTGCAAAAATGTAGAAGATTCTTGTGCAGTCGATTATACATATCTTGGAATAATAACGAAAAATTCGAGGGGGAACCCACCAATTCTTAATTACCAGACGAGTGGATCTACACATATTCTTCTATATGAAGAAAAATCTCCGAAGTAGAGCTGGAGTCATGAAACATATTTTTACAATTTTATATCGTCTCGCCATAGTCTAAAGTGTAATATAAGTGCAATATACTATATAAACAGCTTATTCTCAAAGTTCATTTTAGTTGAGGATTGTGGTAGATCGCGCACCGGATACAAAAAGAATAAGAATCGGACTCTGTCGACTTTACTTGTAAATATCGTTGTCATAAATTTTCTCAAATTAAGCAAAATTTACTAATCGTCAATAATTGAAATAATAAATTAATTTGCTTGTGTGTAAGTACAAACCTTTCAAACACTTAACAAATGACTCGGCTGGATGCGGATTTATATCACCCAAAAGGCGGCGGAAGTGCTCATCGCCTTTAAATATAACCAAAGCAGATTGACTGAGCCTGACATATAAACATGGCAGTACTTTACGCATGGAAGAACAGGAATGTGGGCTCGTCCAGAAGTGACTCAGATCGCTAAGTACGAAAAACTTGTCCTTCATAAATCCATGGATTTTATTACCAAAAGCGGCTAATTCCGAAATTGCATGAGTGCGGAGGTATCGTAATGTCCAGCGAAAGTCGTTGACGGTTGCATCCGAGACGAATGAAGGAATCGCCTTGACATGATAGCGCACCTGCCGGGCCAGACCCGCCTCGAACAGATACTCCCCCAATATCAGGTCTGTGAAGAGTTCATAGCCGGCATTATCGCACACGATATCGACAAAGACCGGTGACCGGGCCTCTTTCAGCACACGCAGAATATCATCGGACTGATCCAATAACAAATCGGAATCAAACCCACTTATTCTTGTCATAATGTTATCTTCAGGTGGGTTATGTTGAATGCTCAGATCACAGCGATTTCCCCACACAGAAAGCTTCAATAGCACCTCAAAGTCATTGTGACTAAAGTCCATATTTCTGGTTGCCTTCAGAATCCCCAGCATCACGTAGACCAGCTGCCGGGTGGCCGTCATCTTGCTATGACTGAAGTAATCGAAATGGCACAATGTTTCCGTGCGCTTAAAAATGGTCGAGATGCGACGGTACAGATAGCACTGGGCGTGCAACCACACAGATGTGAACCACTGATTGCGGTCATCCGGCAAGCTGCTCAGGAATTTGTTCCAGTTCTCTGTATCAGGCTCTTTGCCGTGGAATAATTTAAAGGGCTTGTTATTAGTCAAATCGTCTCGTAGAATATCTAAAGACCACAAAATACGACGCAAGTCATACCGTGCATACTGATACCGTTATATTTGCATATAGTAACGTGATTACATAAGAGTAAGTTATATTACTTACATCGCCGTATCTCTTCATTAGGGGCTTCTCGTTTTGTTTCAACCACTGAACTAAATCTCTCAGAAGACTAGGCGCGTTCTCTCGCATGGTATAGTAGGCAGAGCTACGTTTGTAATGCGCACTAAGCTCCTCATTCCATGGCGTTTCTTCGTCTATGATATTATTATTTTCGCAAAAGGCTGATTCCAGTGCTAGCTCAGGGCTAATACTGTACATGGTGCTGGCCGACGAACTGTCAGTGAAGTCGCCGCTTCTTATAGAGAAATCTTCCGCATGTGCAAACATTGTGAATAAATTTAGAATTTCGACACAAATTTCGAACTGGTTAGCCTGTGAAAAATAGGCAATAGGCAATAAAGTAGGTAGAATAGGGGGGTGGCTGGAACTATCAACTTGTTAGCTATCACAAAAAGCACCATCAACTACTAAATAATTAAAAAAAATATCTTGAAATGTAATACCTACTTTTATATTTTTAATGTAACGAATAATGTTTTAAGTACATAATATTATGTATTGTCCCAGAAACTTGCCCGCTTAAATCAAACATTCCAAAAACGAATGTTCACGATTGGTTTGTGCTGACCCCAAACAGGCTCACTAATAAAATAATATCAATTTCTTTGCTTTCAAAACAAGAGAGAAAGTTGTTTGATATCGATAGTTTTTAAGCTTAGGTCTATGATTAGTATTAAGTGCTCTATTGGGCATATACCTAAAATTAAAGTGCAGTATAGCACTTATATTCAACAAGTCAACGATATTTGCTACTAACATTTATTTCTATGTCTATAAAAATAAATAGTAATTTAATATTGCTAGAGACCACAAAAAAGGGTAGTTAAAAAGCAAGCGATTGAATTTTTGTATAAATACGCACAATTATTTATTTTAGCGTGAATTCATTTAACAGTGGAAATACTTCAACAATATCTATATTGCATTTAAAAATTTGATAGTTTGACTAAAAATCAGGCACACTATAGCATCTCCCTTTTTCTCACTTTCTTGCAAACTGTATAAGGCCATATTCGCCAGTAAGCATCCACTCCTTGTCCTTTGCAAATAATTCCTCGGACTTCCCCGGCGGCAGATCGCAAATTAAATCAGCTTTAATGGTCCGCAATGTGCACAGATTGGATGGCTTAAATCCTGCAAACAAATAGAATGAAATACAATTTAAAAATATATTTATCCTTATCCCAACTTACCCCTCAGACATGTCTCGAATGGTTCAGTATTATTCCAGGAGAAATCGCCCAGCAACTTGCGATAGTTGAGGTCACCCTTGAATATAACTAGTTTTGCTTGTGCTAAGCGTTCATAGAGAGCTGGTTGCACCTGCTCCATGCGATAGAACTCGTACGGGCTGGTCCAGAAGTATTCTATTGGTTCAACTTCAAATTTTCCCTCTGCTGTGAATTTCTGTAGCTTCTCTCCCAAATCCCGAAGTAATTCGCTTTCATGCTTCGCCAGAAATTCCAGAGTCCAATGATAATCATATTCCATAACATCCGATATAAACCAAGGTATGGCCTTAACATTGAACCGAACTTTGCTGGCTAGGCCTTTGTCAATAATATATTCAGCTAAAATCAAATCAGTATAAAGCTCATAGCCCGCATTGTCACACACAATATCCACTATAGAGCTGTCGGAGTCGGCGTTTTCAATGCACTTCCATATAGATGCGCTGGCGTCCACGAGTAAATTGGCATCCAGTTCTGACACCAAATCAAAGGCATCACCTGTGGGCTTAACCTGCTTCCCGCTAGTTATTGACAAATCACAGCGGTTGCCCCAAAGATTCAATTTGAGAAGTTGTTGAAAAGTTTCCGAATTCCGAATGGTTTGACGTGTAGCTCGCGTCACAGCCATCATGGCCTCGGTACTCAGCTGGGCGGCCGTTTGCTTTTGCCTGCTGAAGTAATCGTAGCTTGACAGTGTGGCTGTTGCCTTGAAAATGGAAGAGATTTTTCTATACATATAACATTCGGCATAGAGCCAGCAAGCGTGATAATAGCTTCGCTTCTGTGGAGGTAGTTTCTCCAAGAATTCATTCCACTGGGCAGTGTCCGGCTCTAGAAAATAAGTATTAAGCATTTAAATATTTTTTAGGAACAGAACTGCTTACACTTACCGTTACCCTCAAAGAGCAGCAAAGCGCCATTGTTGAGAATGTCTGTACGCAATTGTGTGATTGCCGCTGCAGTTCTTTCAATGTCCGCGCCTGCGTCCTGTTGGATGAAAAATGCATTATGCAATGCAAATGACTGCAACTATCAACTACTCACCACCCCATATCTTGCTATTAATTCATCTTTGTCCTTTACTAAAGAGGCAATAATTCCTGATAAAGTTGATGGCAACCGCACACGAAATGTGTAGTAAGCAAAGCTCCTGCAACGATAGAGAGATCGTACTCGTATTACATCAGTGTATAATATATGCTATATTTAGTCTGCTCCCCCACTTACTTCCTATATAGGGCTGCCAGTTCAGTGTGCGGAGGCGTATCGCTATCAATAATTCCATATTTAACATCAAAATCAGCATCAACTGGCAATGTCATAGTGTCTTTGGCTTCACTGCGCGCCTATTTTCAGACTAGTTGTAATATTTTAATTTTTTTTTTTCCTTGTTTGTGCAAGCTCGTAGATGGCTGTTGAGTTAAGTTTGTGCAAAAATTGATAACTTTAACGGACCGACCAGTAATAAATTTGACTAGCGAGCAGCTAAGTAACTTTAAAGCAGCAGCTGACTGAGTGCAGTGTTGGTGAATGTTTAAAGCTGCTTTGCCTGTTAAAATACGTTAGCAACACTTTTTAAATTAAAGATACATATGTAACTGATATATTTTCATAAATTTTACTTGATTATTGATTTAGAGTTTCTTTTTTTAATAGCCAAATTCGCGTGTGCCATCGACAAAATGTATGATTCCGTAGTTTCCTGTAAGCATCCACTGCGGATCCCTCTGGGTCAGACTTTCATTAAGGCCCTTTGGAAGCCCGCACAATACTTCTGCCTTGATAGTCCGTATGAGACAGAAGTTCGTGGGCAAAAAGCCGCGTAAGCATGTCTTAATATCCTGTGTTGTGTCCCAACAAACATCGCTGAGAATTTTGCGACCATTTAAATCCCCTTTGAAAATTATGAGCCTCGACTCCTGGAGTTTTTGATATAGCTCTGGGGCAATGTCCCGCATTCTACAATAATAATAATTAGTTGAGTTAAAATTTTGCTATTTAGAAGAAACTTACGCAAAAAAAGGATGTGGAGAGGTCCAAAAACATGAAACGGGCGCCAATTCGAATTTGCCTTCGTCCAAAAACTGCAAATACTTTTTGCCAATTAAACTAATGATGTAGTCAGAGTGTTCACTCAAATATTGCAACGTCCATTTGAAATCGGCCTCTGTGGTATCCAGGACAAACCACGGATGCGCCTTCACATGGAAACGCACTTTGGTTGCTAAGCCCTTTTCAATCATGTACTCGGCCAATATGAAATCAGTGAACAGTTCGTAGCCGGCATTGTCTAGTACGATGTCGACAACCTGCTGTTTTTTATGCGGTTTGCTATCCAACAACTTCCAAATCTCGGACACATTATTGATGAGTATAAAACTGTCAATGGCGCTGACATCATCCAGAACCGTGCTGTTGAATATCCGCTCATTCTGGTAGGCTGCGGAAGCCAAGACATCGCATCGATTGCTCCACAAGTTAATTTTCATTAGCTCTTCAAACACCTCCTTTGACTTTTCAGTGCGACGCGTGGTATTGGACAGAGAGAGAATATCTTCTATGCAGCTGGTGAGTGCATGTTCCTTAACCTTGGCAAAGTAATCAAACTCCTTGATGAAAATACTATTCTCTACAAAAGAGTAAAGCTTGCGATACGTGTAGCACTCTGAGTACAGCCAGCAAGCCCTATAGAACGAGCGCTCATCGTCGGGAAGATGTGTTATAAAATGGTTCCAGATTTCACGATCCGCCTCTGCAAAGTAAAAAGACGTAAGACAACAGCAAGAGCGTGAAACTAAGCACCTACCTTCGCCATTATACTGCTGGAAAGGCTTATCCGTTTGCAATTCGTATTTGAGGCGCGAAATCAACCCTATGATTATCTTCAACTCTTCGCGTGCGCTCTGTTCGAAATTCGACGGTGCTATGAATTAAATTATGCAAAATCATCCTATACAACACCCGTACAAACCTCACCATATCGTGCGACTAACTCATTCTTGTCCTTCGTCAACGTGTCTGTCATATTGGTAATAACATGTTAATTGCATTTTTCATGGACTTAGTTTTTGTCCTCTGAGCTCACCTATAACATTCGTGAGCACAACCGGCAGAACATTCCGCAAGTTATAGTAGGCATAGCTGCGCTTATACTGGCCAGACATATAAGCATTCAATGGCGTGTTGATATCGACAATGTTATACTTGGCGTCGAAATCGGATTTAAACACTTTGTTTAGCTTCTGGGTTCCAGCCGACTCGCCCTTGCTTGCAGCCCCAGGGGCAGAGACTGCAGCCGCAGATGCAGCTGCAACATTGCCCACCGTGCGTTCCGACGTCGTCGACTCAAGCTCCATGGGATTTAAGCAAAGCTCAGCACTGCCGTTTTCTCTTCACAGTGAATTTGCGTAATTAGAATAACATTTTTAAGAAGACTTTTTATCGATGAAACTTTAGAATTTTGTTGGCTACGCCTGCCTAAGTTCCTTATCCGTTTGGTGTTTGTATACGGATTGTGTGAGAGAAGATGGGCAATTACGGCTTATCACAGCTGATGCTGAGAGGGCTGCCACACCGTCAAAAACACAACGCATGCTTTCAACACTGAAATCATAACGCTTGTCTTTTTTCTGTGCTTTTTGTACTTCCGCGTTTTGTACACACTATACGCACTGTTCAGAGTTTAATGGGCAGGGAGTACGACGCTGTCGCGAAAATTCTGCAAAATGTTAGCTACGTGAAAAACACTGATCGATGTGCGAGAAACGAAAACGCCTATGACGGCATAGCCACGAAAATTAAGTGTCAGCAGTTCTGATAACAAACGCGCGCGGGGCATGCTGACTCAACCTCGACGAAACGACAAAAGTAAACGAGTCCGAGACAGAGATAAAGAAAGACAGAGAGGCGGAGTATATGTAGGTTTAACATTAACTTGTATATATCAGTAGCAGGGGAGAATACGCCAGTTGCTTCAAACTGGTGCGCTACGCTACAAATGCAAATGCACACCAACTAACCACAGCAGCCCACCCACAATACACACACGCACACACACACACACTCACAGGCAGAGACACAGCATGTCACACTTACCAGGGCCTCTGTACGGCTTCGCAGCATTTTTTATGATTTTCTGGTTTGGCACTTGGTGTGTGCATCTGATTGCCATCTGCTATGGAAAGTATAAGCTGCACAAAAAGTCGTGTAAGCTGCCTACAGAATCTTCGCCACTGCCGGGAGTGTCCATACTGAAACCGCTGATGGGTGTGGATCCCAATTTGCAGCACAATCTCGAAACGTTCTTCACCATGGATTATCCGTTATACGAGCTGCTCTTCTGCGTCGAGGACAAGGACGATCCAGCCATAAAGCTGGTGGAGACACTACTCGATAAGTATCCACAAATGGACGCCAAACTCTTTGTCGGCGGCTCGAATGTGGGTGTGAACCCAAAAATAAACAACATCCATCCTGGATACATGGCGGCCAAATACGATTTCGTAATGATATCAGATAGTGGCATTAAAATGAAAAACGACACTCTGCTGGACATGGTCCAGAACATGTCGGATAAGCATGCGCTGGTGCATCAAATGCCCTTCACCTGTGATCGCGACGGTTTCGCGGCTACCTTCGAGAAGGTATTCTTCGGCACAGTGCAGTCGCGTATTTATTTGTCTGCCGATGCTCTGGGCATCAATTGCCACACTGGTATGTCCTGCTTGTTGCGCAAAGCTGTCATCGACGAACTGGGCGGCCTACGCGCCTTTGGATGTTATCTGGCCGAAGATTTTTTCATAGCCAAGGGCGTGACGGAACGAGGCTGGAAGATGCGTATCTCCAATCAGCCAGCCCTTCAGAACAGCGGCCTTTGCGACATTGGCAGCTTTCAAGCTCGTCTCATACGCTGGGCCAAGCTGCGCGTGGCCATGGTCCCAACGACAATGTTGCTGGAGCCATTGTCCGAGTGCATGCTGCTCGGAGCACTGGCGGCTTGGTCAGCATCCTTACTCCTGGCCTGGGATCCGCTCGTCTTCTATCTGGTGCACATACTATGCTGGTTTCTTTCCGACTGGCTGCTCCTCTCGATTGTGCAGCACGGCTCGGTGCCCTTTCACAAGTTCGAGTTCGTCATTGGCTGGCTGTTTCGCGAGGTAACTGGTCCGTATCTCTTTCTGCACGCGCTCTGGAATCCGGCCATACGTTGGCGCACTCGCACCTATAAACTACACTGGGGCGGCATTGCGTACGAGCTCAGACCCAGCAACTCTAGCCCGCCCGCCGATTGTCTCGAACCGCTTCAGCCGGCGCCAACGTTAGCAGCAGGAGGAGCAACGACAACCTCCGGAGCAGCCAAACAACGACTTCTGGCTTCGTAGCAGCTGCACCGGGTCCTCTGTCCGGTAGTTAAGCCATTGTTACATTTTCTATAAGTAATGGGGAGTGCCGCATATAAATGAGAATTCTGATGGTAAAAATGCGGGTAATGACTGCGTTCATAGCGTTTAGTAGTATTATTAGCTAAACTTGAGGATTTAGTCACACTACACGATCCTTGGTAAGTTCACACAGGCAAATACAAAAAACAAAGAAATTCATTAATTCCAATTTGCGTGAAAACATGACAAACCTTTTGAATTCAGGCAATAATTTTGGCAATTTGCATATGCTGGTATGCAAGTAAGTACTTATGTATGTTCATTTGAATGTAGGTGCCTGTATGAGCTCGCCTTTAAACCTTATTAATGTATGTATAATAATTATAAACTCGTGGACTTGCGCTGGTTACGGCTACAGTAGGCGCTAAAGTTGCTCACCCACACCCACTCACACACAACAACACAACACTCCGAGACGACACAGACGCAGACTGCACAATCTTGAACTCAACTCTAACTTAAATATCCAATACGTAGTGCTTAAGCCATAAAAGTTGTTTGCTGTTGTATATATCTACATATGTATATCATAAATCATAGTTCGTATTTTTATTATTAATATAGTTTTTTTTTTGTGCGCCCTTTAGTTATTCGTATGGGTGCACTATTGAGAATTATTAGGCTTTGTTGTTGTCGTTATTTTTACGAATCTAGCTAACTAAAATTACATATTAATGTATCATTGCTAAGCACATTATAATTATTATTATTATTCATTTATTTTCCGTTTGTACATAAAACTTTGCTAAAAGAAAAGAAAAATCAATGCCATCGAATAAATGTACTTTAAATTTTCATGCAAATGATTTATGATTTTTTTTATCACAACGCTTAGATTTTGTAATCGCATGTTATCAGTTGCTTGTGTCGGCCTGAATAGATTTTGTTGGTATTTGTTTTTTTTTTTTGAGGATGAATCAGCAGCGATCCAACGTGCTTGGAAAGCCCGGGATTTGTATGTTTGTATTCGGTATCTCATTACTTTGCGCACTGCTCGGTTACTTAATAATTGCTTGTGTCACATGCGTCATTAATTTGGGGCTTAACTTTCTGCAGCCACTGTAGCTAGATCATATGGGCGCGGGTTCAAAGGCTAAACGCTCATGTACATTAATTAAATTATGTTATAATATAATGAAGCTTGTGAAGACATTAAATATCACATAATAGGCAGTTGAAGAACTCCCCGCTAAAAATAGTATTACAGCAAGCAATTTATATGATGAACTCTAGTAATGAAAAACATACATACAAGTACATAGGATTGTTAAGGTACATATTTAAGCCGATGTTGTCCTGAAACAAAATTGTATTGTAAATCGATAGAGTTGTACTTATTTCTGAACACTTATTTAAGCCGTATTTTCACTATCTTTTAAGTTAGTATTAAATACAAATAATATGCCGATAATACAAAAACGAACTATTATATTTTTCTTTTTAAATATTTTGGATATTGTAATACATATAGCTTTAGCTAATGTTTGCTCCAAAGATAGTGAAAAACGTAGTTTTATATTTTTAAAAGTTTTAGCTTTTGAACTGAACTAATACAAGTATATGTATGTATTATTTGTTAAACCATCTCAAGACTAGTTGATCTAGAATGTTCAACTCTATTGATTAAACCTATTTCAATACATACATATTCACATGAAGAAACAATTGAACCGAGCATGTGACTCATGCGGCCCTCACATGACAACAACAAGAACTGCAGATTATCAGCTGCATGTAATGAAATATAAGCAACAATAATAAGAATATTTGTAAAATGCACATACACATACTTATACGTATTTACATGCATATGTAAGTGTGTGTGATTGCATACTTGTAGAATGGTTTAAGGTTAAGAAAGCCGAGGGAGAGAGCGATATTGATAGAAAGATAGGCATATCAGTTGCAAAGCACACAGAGAGGCAGATAAATGGATGAACCGAACTCGTTGTTGACATCTTATGAATTAAGACATCAACACACCCTAATACTTAGCTTTGATAAAAAGTAGTTGAATTTAAACATACACATGTATGTATGTAGAAATGAACAGAACCCTATACCAACATACATACATACTATTTAAAAAAGTTGAAAACATTTAAAGCGCCTAGTTGGCAATGACGTTGGCCATAGCTAATTCATGTTCTACACCAAAACATTTTAAGCTAGTACTTATGTACATACATATGTATGTATGTAGGGCACTGTATACAAATATTGGATGAATTTGATTTGTGGCCACAATAATATTTACACACAAACATACATGCATACATATTGTTTCGAGATTTCCGCCAATAATAATAATAATAAACCGATTTCAGTTGATAAGCAATACTAAGCATAGTATTCTCTGCTTTGATTGATTTCCAAATTTATTTCGGGCGCTCTCTCTCGTTGCTTAAGCTGCAAACGCAAACTCAATTACTTATGTAGATTAGAATTCAAAGGAAGGTTTTAAACCTACATACTAAATAAATTGTATTTATTGTACGCTGCGACACAAATTAACGGGGGCAACAATTTTGTGTACAATTAATATGTGACTTGGCATGTGTTCAATGTTATTTTGTTATTAAAATGGGCAGGCATTTTTTGATTAGCTGCAAACAACAAAAATTACCAATAATAAGAATAATAATGACGACAACTTAGTTCATACTATGTATTTGAAAATGATTTACAAATACATGAACATAAATTTCATATTTTTTAAAACTTATTTGTATCTAAGCTAAAGCTAGTCAATAAAATAAAATAATACCAGATGACCAAAATAAATACATACATACATATGTATGTAACTCTTGTTTGATTTTTCTATGAATGTGGGCTATGCACATACAAATATGCACACATGTATGTATGTATGTATATTCACTGAATCACGACGCTCCGTCTCAGTAAATACCGTAGTTTCCTGGCCCACAATTTTCGAGTCAGGCAAAACAGATTGCAGCCCCATCTATTCGTGCTTTGCACCTAACGGGCTTGCGATAATCTAATCTCTGTCGTTTGCACTCGGCCCACCACAGTCTTCGTCTAAAGCACGTGAATAAGTTTCAAGCATACGCACAAATGGCGTCCCTTTGGGCTCGGTGAGCCAGCAATTGGAAAACCACTGCGGTTGTGCTTATCAGCGAAATGGAACATATGTATGTGATCAAGTGTGTGTGTACATTTTGGCACGCGAAAGGGGGCATTCAAGTATTAATTATTTGTATTTAGATGACACATTTTCTAAATAAATAAGTATGTTCATATTGCGTTCCTCCAAAAGTTTGGAGCACCTGTAGCTACGAAACACAATTTTAACAGTGCATTACATCTTATCAGATTTTGATCCAAGTGCACATTATCAATTCGACAATTTAAAATAAACGTCATCGATAGTAGCATGATATCGATAAGCAATGGCAATTCTGTCGACTTTTAGCTGTTTTCGCTTGTGATGCGATTTGGTCACACTCGTTTAATTTTTGCAAAAAACATCTACTGTGCGGCGTAATATATTCGGTTTAATAGTTCAATTTAAGGTATTTAATATAACAATTGTTCGGAAAAGAATAACTCACTGTGTCCTCAGCAATGTACATTATAAAATGCATCTGCGGCATTGCGAAAAAGCCGAGCAAGAGGCGATGAAAAAACTTGTGGAAAAATCTATACAACAAAGTGTTTATCAGATATACAAAATGTAGCAGCTTGTGGGTGGCGCTAGAACTGTTGTCGGTTGGGGGGTTATTGGGTAGGCGCCACAGCTGGTGCTCTCATTGTCAGTGTCGTGGCCGCCATTTGAAAAGTGCATGCGTGTGTGTCTTGTTGGTGGGCGTTTTTAAAGGGGAGGAATTTTCGGCTCAGTTGCTGGGCACTGGCACGGGCTAAGTAGTAAAAGAAATGTGTTTATGCCAAAGTGGTTTAAGTGTGGAAGCATTTGTTGATTGATCTTCGACAGAGCAGCAATTTTTATGGATTTTTAATGAGTGAATCTGAAATATCATTCGCAGATGTCTTAGCCGAGCCAGTGCAAAAAGGTTACTCAACAAGAATCGATTGAACGCACACTCGCCACTAGCGTAGCAAAAGGGCACAGCCATGGCCATGTCCAAAGTTATACGTGTGCTGGAGAAATCCATTGCGCCGTCGCCCCACAGCGTCCTGCTGGAGCATCGCAACAAGAGTGAGAGCATACTATTTGAGTCGCATGCTGTTGCGTTGCTAACACAACAGGAAACGGATGTAATCCGCAAGCAATACACCAAAGTGTGTGATGCCTACGGCTGCCTGGGCGTCTTGCAGCTCAATGCGGGCGAGAGCACAGTGCTCTTCCTGGTGCTCGTGACTGGCTGTGTGTCTATGGGCAAGATAGGCGATGTGGAGATCTTTCGCATCACCCAGACGACGTTCGCATCGCTGCAGAATGCGGCGCCCAACGAGGACAAGATTAGCGAGGTGCGCAAGCTGCTCAATTCAGGAACCTTCTATTTCGCCCATGCCAATGTCAGTGCAGCGGCCGCCGGTTCCCCATCAACCAAGTTTGACATTACGCTCTGTGCGCAACGACGCCAGCAAACCGCAGAGACCGACAATCGCTTCTTTTGGAATCGCATGATGCACATCCACATGTTGCGCTTTGGCATTGATTGCCAGTCGTGGCTGCTGCAGACCATGTGCGGCTCTGTTGAAGTTCGCACTGTCTATATAGGCGCCAAGCAAGCTCGCGCTGCTATCATCTCTCGTTTGAGCTGCGAGCGTGCCGGCACCCGCTTCAATGTGCGCGGCACCAACGACGAGGGCTATGTGGCTAACTTTGTGGAGACGGAGCAGGTCATTTATGTGGATGGCGAGGTCACGAGCCATGTTCAGACACGCGGCTCAGTGCCGTTATTCTGGGAGCAGCCAGGAGTGCAGGTGGGCTCGCACAAGGTGAAGCTGTCGCGTGGATTTGAAACATCGGCCGCTGCTTTTGATCGGCACATGAATATGATGCGACAGCGCTACGGCTACCACACCATTATCAATTTGCTAGGCAGCTCTCTTATTGGCAGCAAGGAGGGTGAGGCGATGCTGAGCAATGAGTTCCAGCGTCATCATGGCATGTCCGCCCATAAAGATGTGCCGCATGTGATCTTTGATTATCACCAAGAGTGTCGTGGCGGAAACTTCTCAGCGTTGGCCAAGCTCAAGGAGCGCGTTATAGCCTGTGGTGCGAACTATGGAATTTTTCATGCCTGCGGGGGCCAAGTACTCCGCGAGCAGTTCGGCGTGGTGCGCACCAATTGTCTGGACTGTCTCGATCGCACGAACTGCGTCCAAACGTATTTAGGATTAGAGACACTCAACCTGCAACTGGAGGCGCTTAAGCTGGGCGGGAAGCAACAGAATGTCTCTCGCTTTGAGGAAATCTTTCGTCAGATGTGGATAAATAATGGCAACGAGGTGAGCAAAATCTATGCTGGCACCGGGGCCATACAAGGCGGCTCCAAGCTTATGGACGGTGCGCGTTCTGCAGCACGCACAATTCAAAATAATTTGCTCGACAACTCCAAGCAGGTGAGTCAATTCTATCTACATTCAGTTCAATAAAATCAATATTTTATTCAGTATATCAGCAGTTGTTAATTATTCGTTTGATTGAATGTTAGAACCTTGAAAAGCAAAGGTAATATCCTACACCACCACTGCCATTGTTTTATACACAATCCTCCTCTTACTAGGCCCTACTTTATTCAGGCAGCTATTTAAAGTATAAATGAAACTTAATTCTTTGTGAAACTAATTAATGTTTCTTGTTTGTTCTTGTACAGGAAGCCATTGATGTGTTGTTGGTAGGCTCTACGCTGAGCTCAGAGCTGGCGGATCGTGCTCGCATTTTGCTGCCCTCCAATATGCTGCATGCGCCCACAACAGTTTTACGTGAGATGTGTAAACGTTATACGGAATATGTGCGCCCGCGAATGGCACGCGTCGCCGTAGGCACGTACAATGTGAACGGAGGCAAGCATTTTCGAAGCATTGTATTCAAGGACTCGCTGGCCGATTGGCTGCTAGATTGCCATGCACTGGCGCGTTCCAAGGCGCTGGTAGATGTAAATAATCCATCGGAACATGCTGAGCATCCGGTGGACATTTACGCTATTGGTTTTGAGGAGATTGTTGACTTAAATGCGTCCAACATTATGGCTGCCAGCACGGATAACGCAAAGCTTTGGGCAGAAGAGCTGCAGAAAACCATCTCCAGAGACAATGATTACGTTCTACTCACGTATCAGCAGTTAGTAGGCGTGTGTCTGTACATATACATACGACCGGAGCATGCGCCACACATCCGCGATGTGGCGATCGATTGTGTGAAGACGGGACTGGGAGGTGCCACTGGAAACAAGGGAGCCGCAGCCATACGCTTTGTTCTGCACGGCACCTCAATGTGTTTTGTGTGCGCCCACTTTGCCGCTGGCCAGTCTCAGGTGGCTGAACGCAATGCAGATTATGCAGAAATCACCCGGAAATTGGCCTTTCCCATGGGACGCACGCTCAAGTCACACGATTGGGTGTTCTGGTGTGGCGACTTCAACTACCGCATTGACATGGACAAGGATGAGCTGAAGGAGTGTGTAAAGAATGGAGAACTGTCCACAGTACTAGAGTTCGATCAGCTGCGTAAAGAGCAAGAACAGGGCAACGTGTTTGCCGAGTTTTTGGAGGGTGAGATCAGCTTTGATCCCACATATAAATACGATCTGTTTAGTGATGACTACGACACGTCGGAGAAGCAGCGGGCGCCAGCCTGGACAGATCGTGTGCTGTGGCGCCGCCGCAAGGCGTTAGCTGAGACGGACTTTGTGGGCGGAGAATGGAATGCAGGCCGACTCATACATTACGGACGCTCGGAGCTTAAACAGAGCGATCATCGACCTGTCATTGCCATCATAGATGCAGAAATTATGGAAATTGACCAGAAGCGTCGGCGTGAGGTTTTCGAACAGGTCATTCGCGACTTGGGGCCGCCAGACTCCACCATAGTTGTGCACGTGCATGAGCCGTCATCGGAGGAGGATGGACCAACCATATATGATGAGCATGTCATGTCCGCGCTAATAGCAGAGCTCTCCAAAATGGGCGAGGTAACACTTGTGCGCTATGTGGAGGACACCATGTGGGTCACATTTCGCGATGGCGAGTCGGCACTCAATGCAGCAGCCAAGCGCAGCACCCAGGTGTGCGGATTGGAACTGGTATTCGAACTCAAGTCTGCCGATTGGCAGCATCTGGTGGATAACGAGATTTCGCTGTGCACCACCAACACCATTCCGCTGTGCGCCAATCCGGAACAGCAGGCACAACTGGAGCAAGTGACTCCAGAATTGCCGCAGCGCCCCAAACAGCCTCCGGCGCGTCCACCTGCTCGTCCGCCTATGCCTATGTCACCAAAGAACTCGCCGCGTCACTTGCCACATGCCGGTGTTATTAGCATTGTACCGAAGCCAGCTAAACCCCCGATGCCACCACAGCCCATGCAGGCGCCGCTGCAGCCGATCCAGGTTTTGCCTCCGCGTCCGCCTGCCATGGGCAACGCCGTGGGTGCTGGTACGGGAACGGGTACGGACACAACACCCTCATCCAAATCACAATCGCCCACAGAGCCAGCCTCTCCGCTGCATGCCACATCCTCTTCCTCAACCACATCCTCGGGCAAAGCTTCGCCCACAGCTGGCAGTGCTGAGGCTTCTACATTGGTCTCGGGACCACCCACGCCCCCACGTCAAGTGCAAAGCAAACAAGTAACGCCCGTCTCAACCCCTACTCGACAAACCAAACAACCGATAGATGCGGCAGACGCCGTTTATGAAACGGCTAGCAACATTTACGAGGAAATCCAGGAAGATGTTCCGGCACCACGACATCCGCCGCCAGCAGGGCCTCCACCAGTCATGACGGGTCCTCCCATGGGTCCGCCTCCCCCGCTGCCCACGCGTCGTGGACCGCCACCGATACCAAACCGCAGCGGCAATGCGCCTCCATTGCCCACACGACCAACAAACAATTGAAATTGTCACTGGGGTGAGTGCTTAAAAGAAAATCTTAGATAGGTTTTCAAAACTACAAATTAAAAGAACGGTACTCGAATGTCTGCTCTCAAATGCCAACCTCTGGTCCACATAACTTGAAAATCTATTTTTGAGTTGGTATCGAAGTGAGGTAAAGCTTCCCACACACCATATGTATATTTGTTTGAGCTTTCTAAATATAGCATTTATATAGTCTATATATTATTGGTTGTTGCCAACTGTCAGGATGGCCGAGCGGTCTAAGGCGCCAGACTCAAGATAGTGTGATCTTGCCTTTCACAGAAGGGTTCCCGAATGAGCGTTCTGGTCCTCTCTGAGGGCGTGGGTTCGAATCCCACTTCTGACAATATTTATTTTTTATATTATTCTGATTTGTCTGATTTCAGCACCATGCAGTACTTATACGGCTACCAATGAAATCGCAATACGGTGTCCACTACCACATCTGATTACTAAGTTACTTATTGGCTAAGTTACATTCCAAGTTGTTGTATTTACTGTTGAAAATCTCAAAACTTATTATGGAGGAATATATTTTGGCAAGAGTTTAGCGAAATATATAGAGACAGTTCCAAATGAATTTATGTGTAAGCAACAGGCGTATGTATTTATTTGTTTTCGAAGTTGAGAAAAACACAAGTTATACCCTCAAATGTTACCACTATATTCCATGTATTCTTTGTTTCTATTTACACCCAATGTATCACTGGCTAGGAGGAGTACAGAATGGGTACACTATTGCACCAAATAAAATAATAAAAAAATAAAAATATAAATAATAAAAAAGAGCAATTTGAACAAAAAAAAAAAAAATAAAACAAGAAATGTTAAGCATTGAAGTACTACTATACATAAAAACTTATGCATACTAGTCAAATTATCAAATAATAAAATGTTACTGTCGAATATTACAAGTAATCAGCATTAACAACACTACAAGAAGAAATGGGCTGCAAGTCGCGAGCATGTAACAACAAATTGAAGCTAACGTGCCGCTCATTATATACTAGTTTACAAATATGCATCCATATACAGGGTGCGCCATCTTTTATGTCGGTATGCAAACATTGAATATCCTTGAAAATAAACAACCGATTTTCAAGTATGAGATATTTTTATTTAATTTGGTTCTGTACAATTTCTTGAACTGACGTTTTCAACACTGGTCTACTCAAGTCAATCGGTTCACTAATGACAAAGTTATCCAATATCTGCATACCGACATAAAAGATGGCGCACCCTGTATGTATTTAGAGCTATTGTTATTGTAAAGCGTTGCAGTTTAAATAATGTACCTACAAATGAAAAACTAAAATACTTGCGCAAAATTCTGCTAATATGAATGGTACGGTGTAATGAATTGTTTAACAATTTTATTGATTTAGTTTTTAGTTAAATGAACTATACGAACAACAAGAATATCAAAGAAAATACCACGCGTCTATATACAAATGCTATATGTATTTACAAGTTAAATAAACATAGGCACATAAACATACATATGAATATAAAAAATGTAAAAAGTTTAATCCAAATAAAAGCGAAAATAAAACTATTATGAGAATATTGCCATGTTTTCAACGTTATTTATAGCGTTTTATTTACTTATAAATTTAATATTCACTAGCAAATTGTTTACTGATCTATCTTTGCCTCTTTGGTAAACTTAGTTGATCTGGAGAGGCTGGTTTAAAGATATCGGCTTTTCCTGGAGACTTTCAATTGTATGATCTTATAATTGCAATTGCTTGACTAGCTTTAAGCATGGCCAGGTACTATGTATCGTACAAAGGGAATACATTTAACAGTTTGTTTTGAAATTGCATTTATTGTTAATTTATTTTTTCAACACAGCTAAAGTAAATAATCAAGCAGAGGTGATGGAAGTAAACAGCAGAATTTCGGAACCTTTTCTCATGTGACCGATTTAACGAGCACATGGGCAGGTATATCGCCTAATAACATTGGTTTATAACTAGTGCATTACATCACTCAACAGCCAACAGAAAAAAACGCTATTTTTTTTAAATTATGGTGGCTTTTATGACCAACAAAATAGTTTTTTGTGGTAAGATTTTTTTTTAAATTTAAGCGGGCTCCCTAGATTGTTTGCGGTAAGTTATATTTATGAGTCGTACTCATAATACTATATAGCATAACCGATTTTAATCAACTTTTTATAAAAACAAAACAAATGCCATATTTTTGGCCGCTTATCTATTGAACTGTTCAACTTGTTTGTCCAATATACGAGTACATTTTGTTTTAATTTTTCCTGGGATTTTGAAGTCTACTTATTTTTTGAGTAATAGAAAATTCAATGTATCCGAAACTATTTCCACATTTCCACAAACTATTTTGTAGGCATATCTTTAAGATTTGTAACTATTTAAAGTATTTTAAACAATCTTTGCATAGTCGTTTATGCCTCTGATGTGCAGAGTTTTCATGAACAAGCTAAGTTTTGTGAAACTTCGTTAATACATAGTCCTTTATAAAGCACTGTGTGCTTTTGATCCCTCGAGAAGCACATCTATATAAGGAGAAAGAGAAACATACGGTGAAGATATTTATCCTTTTACCGGAACTCGACGCAGGGGGTCTAAAACCACTTAGGTAGCACATCGTTCGGCAGCTTTTTGTGATTGGGCAGTGCGGTGCAGGGTCGTTGCTGGCGCCAGAACTCTTGACGTTTGTTTAAGAACTCCACCGCCTCCTTGGCAAAGGTTGATATGTTTTCTGTATTGGTATCAGCACGCACTAGGTTTGGGTGCTGTAATAGCTTTTCTAAATATTCCTTGTCCACGCAGAGCTCTCCCAGTAACTTGCGCGCATTGCGACGCTCCAGATCGGCTTTGTTAGCTCGGGTGCGTACCTGGGGCCTTGCGCTGTTCACATTATCCATCGGCTTTTTGGGCTTAGACGGTGCAACGGTTCCCCGGGTCTTCGCGCCTATGGTATTTTCAATAGCTTCCTGTGTCTTTTGGACTCCAAGGCGTAGCGAAGCTAATTCGGGACGTGCCCGCAGACCTCGATGGAAGAACATGAGACTCTGCTCGAATTGTCCGAGATAATAGAGCGACTCGGCCTTCTGATATATGGCGCGAATGTTATTTTTATCCTCGGCTAGAGCGGTTTCAGCATCCTGTAGGGCTTTTGAGGACTCGCCCAAAAGTAAATAACACTTGCTACGCGAAATCAAAGCATTAATATCCGTGCTGTTGAGTTCAAGGGCCTGAAAAGAGAAAGTATTGAATTATTTAAAATCGATTACAGTGGTTTGGGTTTAGTGAAAGGGGAACCTTGCAAAAAAATTGTATAGCATTTTCGGGATTTGCGTTTTTAATCTCTTTTAGGCCCAGTGCTATAATCGAACTAATGTCCGCCTCATCTGGAATAAGCAAAGCTTCATTACGATCCTGCTTCTGCTTGATTTGTAAGCTTTGTTTAATATCGAAAGCGCCCGCACTGACGGCCGCCGCACGATCCTTGTCCGTATAGAAGTCCACAAAATTCTCCTTGGGCTTCTTCTTCTTCAGGATTTGATCTTCGATTCTTTTGCGTGCTGCACGCAGCTCGGCCTCAATGCGATTTCCACGCTTTGTGCTGCCTGGTTCACCCTCATCTGCGAACTTGCTTCCGCGATCACGTCCTTGTTTCTCGGAAGGTTTGCCCTCGACGTACGACTCACGCCGCTCCCATATAGGCGGCTTACGGGAGGTACGAGCTCCACGACCCTTCTTTTTGTTTGACTTAGATTCGTCCAGCGATTCTTCGTCCACATTAACGCCCGTGCGTATGAAGCTTTGCAACAGCTCCTGATCCTTGTCAACGGCCAGTATGGTATTTAAGACGTTTGACATTTTATTATCTCTTACACAAACTTGAAAGGAAAAACTTGTTCAACTAGGCGTGTGAAGATTTCACACCTTAGCTGACAGTTGCCAGCAAACGGTAATTGATTAGCTCCTTAGCGCTGTTGCCTGGAAACTGCCTAACTAATGGCTTACCAATCGATAAAAATAAATAAAATGGCACGTGCTTCTAGTGGCTACTCGGTGAATTGGGTGGTAGAAGGCAGCCAGGCATAACAATTACATTTATCAACAACTAGTGTTGGGACTTATAAAGCAACTCTCCCATTGATCCTGATTAAAATCTATTTAATATTTTGGTAGTTTTCGTTGTTTTATGGATTACAAATAAAACACAATTGGTATTTAAAAAATTGTAATCAATATTTGTTTATTTATTAAAACACAGGCTTTTATATGTTAACTACTTGCATCCAAAAAGGATTGAAAAATCCTTTATACAATAGAACCAACGGTATCTTTTGTGTCTGGCTTAAATTTATTTGTACGCGCCAACCATAACAAATAGCCAAAAGCTGCTTGCTATGTAATCTTTCTAACAAAAGCTTGTTGTCGTGAGCTACGCATGAAAAGTTCACCACTCGAAAACAAACGACAAAGTGCCGCCATCTACAGTTTATTTCAGTTTCAAGCCGTTATGAATGTTGTTATATGTAATTAAACATACATATGTAATAAGAAATTGAAATAGCATTTATGGAATCGTGATAATTGTTATCTCGTGGCACAGTCTGCAGGTGGTATAGTGGTATACGTGATTGAAGAAGTATGAAATTCGATATCGGAAATTCGGGATTACTGAAGATGTTGTCAAAAAAGTGCATGAATTTGATCAAAAACCAGCGAAAATCTTCGATGAAATTTATTTTTTAACTGCACAACTGAGTCTGCGAAAGGTTTTTTCTTGTTTCTTACCGCGGAAGTGTTCTGGGTCCCTTCGGTCGATACGTGTGACTTATTTTTGACAAAAATAACTCAGTTCAACCATCAACCACTTCCCATATTCACCTGATTTGATATCGTGCAACTGTTACCTTTTCGGAAAAGCATAAGCTGTTATATAGACGAAAAAGCCATCCAAAAGGCTTTTATTGAAATTCTAAACACTCTTTGACTTGCTTTTAGACCGTGTAAATCGCTTTCCGAAATTGACTGAATAAAATATCAAACAATTAAAAATTCAAAAATGATTAATAAAGCGGTAGGTGATAAGATTAGGTGTACCGCCGATATCAGTCCGACATAGACCACATTGAGCCTTAGTGGAGATCAGGTTAGTGTTGCATTAGCAGCTTGCTTTGTTTAGCAAACGCCAATGCTTTCGGGGAGCATTTTTCCGCCTTTTTCAGCGAGGCAAGAGTATACGCGTGCAAGTGTTTTGCTTTGTAGGTGAAGAGTGCTAGGCAGTAGTGGCATACAAGATTTAGAGATAGGATTACAATTTATAAATTTATTCAAATTATTTGTATCCTTGCAGCAAACTGCACTAGTTGTAGCCATTACACTTAATTGCTGGGGATCTACTAAACCTGTTCTTTATATAGGATCTGTCCTGGGATGAACAATTATTCAATTTTATGCGAACTCGTGACATCGATATTATGCTTCTCCGATGATTACAGAACCTACTCTCTCCCCTCAAGATCCCTAGTATAAAATATATAATATATATCATAAAATATAATTTCATTTTTCCTGTAAATCATTGTAAATATTGTATATACATAGATGTAAGTGCGTTCTATAGATGCTTACTATAGACAACTTTTGTATTCCCTAACTTTCAACTAGCTTAAGCTGCCATATTGGTAGTAGAAAACTAGTTTAATAAATTGTATATATGTAAAAAAAAATTTCGACACATTACTATGTTATTGACCAGTATAAGAACATAAACGTATTTAAATTTTTTATACTCTGTATATGAAATGTACAGAAGTATATTAGGTTTGAGGGCGCTGAAAAATGTAACAGGCAGAAGGAGGCGTGGCAGACCCCACAAAGTATATATATTCTTGATCAGCATGACGAGACGAGTCGATCTAGCCCTGTCTGTCCGTCCGTATGAATACCTGGATCTCAGAGACTATAAAAGATAGAGACACCAAATTTTGCACAAATATGCCTTATGTGTGTACGCTATACGAGTTTGTTTTATTTTATTTGATTTACCCCCCCCCCCACTTCCCCCCTATGGGGGTTTTCCCGATTTTCCATTCGTATAATCGCCTATATCTCGGAGACTATAAGACCTAGGAACACCAAATTTTAGTCCCAGATGCCTTATGTGAATACGCAGAAAATGTGCATTTTAGAATTTCCCTCCCTCCCCCTTCTCCCCCACAAATCGCGATTTTCTCTAACTCCCGTAATTCTTGGAATTTCGAACTAAAATTGTAAATACCCCCAGTTAGTAATTATGTTTCCGTATGCCAAGTTTCACTATGATAGACCGATTTAACGAGAAGTTATAGCCATAAATATATTTGCTGCTGCAGCGCTGCTCAAGCGCTGCCCGCGACTGTTGTTGATGTTGCTGTTTGGTTGACTGCTAACATGTTTACACAGACACGAATAGATGCGCATAGGCATACATACACTCACACAGACGCAATTGCTATGTAAATGTGCAATTCGAATACCGAGAAAGGTAAAAACGATCAAATTTTTTTTTTTAATTTTCCTCATTTTTTTTCTTTAATTATTGTAAACATATGTATGTACAGAGTATTTAAAAGTCGGGACACCGGACTTTAGCTTTTTTACTTGTTTGCTTTTATTACTGATTGTATCCGTATTCTTATATATTTAATTTATTTATATTTGTTAAGGTAAGGTAGAGTTAACAATGTAAGCGTGTAAAAAAAAAATTCTTTAGTATTTTCTCCGAAATAAAAATCTAGGGGAAGTGCTGCCCTTAAGCCCATTTGATCCATGATTTGTAAGATTATCAAACGCAAAGTTTACATGTTTCGAGGCTACAGAAGTATTTTTGGGTCAGAAAGAAAGAGTCCTTAGAATAAGATAGAGTTTTTAGAAACTAGTAAAATTGAATAAATTTGCTGTTTCATTTATGTATTTATATTTAAATATGTACCTGATTATATCCCGTCAAAGCCTTGTAGTATTCACGAACTTTCATATGATTATTTGACTGATCGCAAAGCAGTTTGATGGTTGTTTCAATTTCTTCGATGGTTTCAACTTTTGGTTTTTTTCGCGGCATTTCTTACAGTTTTATTGCGATTTGTTACACAAGTAAACGAATTGAAATTTTCTGTGGTCTTTTCACTTTTGTTTGAAATGTCGCTTAAGTTATTTATTTATTTACTTTTTTAAAGGTTTTCTACAAGTATGTATATCTTTTCACTCAATTTTATATCGTGTGAGGATTTAGCTATCAATCGCTTTAAGAATGCTGCATTCCTTCTCGCCATGTCTGCTCGCCATGCTTGACATTTTCCAACTGAATTTCCTGCCATTTCGAGTCGTTGTGCTGTGTTTGGTAATACAGGCAAGAAGAGTCGTTTGGCCCACACTTTTGTTGTAGTTGTCGTTGGTTAGCTGTTGCTGATGTTCCTGTTGTTGGCGACTGCAGCAGTGTTTGTTTATGGTTGGCAAGAAGAAGTTTGCGCTTGAAGGGGTCTGTCTCGATTCATTTGCATGCGCTGACAAGTCCCGTTAAGCTTTAACATAATTACCTGTGCATACTAATTGATAAAGTATTTGGTAATTTATGTAATCGAGTTAATTACATATTAGTATCCCAGCTGTGGAATTCGAATAGCTCTTGCAAAAATATTTGAAAGTGGTTAAAAAACATATTTTACTGGAAGGCTAACGTCACGCTTGTTGCATGACACATCATCGCCTTTGTTGCTGTGATTGTTGTTGTTGGAGCTGCGTGAAAAATCAATCCCTTGGTAATGAGTTTCTGATGATTGCCTTCGGAAACAAAGCCAATTAAACGGCAGCTGATAAGGCTGTGGCCCTCCAACTCGAATGGGGTCTATGAATGGGAGAGCCCCAATCGAGCATTTCGCAATCAATAAAAACAGCCACAAACTACCGTATTTGATATTGTCGTGAATGTGGCAACTTAAAAGAGTCGCACGCCCTTCGTTTTTTCGGCATGTAGCAACCTCATTCACCTGTTAAAATCGTTTACTTCTACATATTTATGAAACTATACAAATTGCCATTAATTTTCTCGTATTGTTTTTAGAGTAAATAAATAAGGTAGGCGCCTTCTCTACGTCTCGGGTGCATGCCTCTGCCTCTACCTCTACCTCTGTCTTTGCCTTTGCGTGTCCTTAGCTCATTTGCTGGAAAAGAGGAGAAAAAACCTTCATGGCGTGGCAAAACAATTTTATGTGCCTGCCTTCATAACAATGTAAGCAGGCCCACAACTTTACTACAACCAAGACATTTTGTGGCCAAACTTTGAGCTATCTCCCCCACTCGTGCCCCTCCAGCCATCGTCCTTTAACCTATCGAACAGCAACTGACACTGACAGCCCATCACACTCGTACATGACTTTACGACATTGTAGACATGATAGAAAAATTATGATATTTGCATTTAGTTAAGTCGACATGGATGTCGGGGTACCTTTGTAAGCCCGTCGTCTGAAGTCCTTGCATATGTAGGCTACGCTCTAATGTCTATTGCCTTGCGCCAATTCCATTTGTGTCACAATATAGCCGAACCAATGCTTGACTAAGTCTACAACATAAAACTTGCGCGATTCTAATCTCTTAAGTTGTTTTATTGCTAGGAGCTGATTCCTGGCATGCAAAGGAGACCTGTTGATTGCGAATTGGTCGTAAATTGTCGTATATTGAGAGAATATATAAACTAAAATGCCATTATTAAATAATTCGTTGGATCTATCGATATTCCTTTAAAAAGGCTTTGATTTGCATTACAATTTACCTCAGCTTCTTTAGTTTATTGATTTAAAATTTATCTAAAATCGCCATCATATGGCCGAATAGAACCATTGGTATAAACTCCCTTCAACGACAACGACCTTGGAATGAATTTGGATTTATTTATCCTTGTTTTGTTGGTTGTAAAATCCTATTATACGTCATTTTCGTCGTCCAACATGATCGCAAAACCTCCGAATTAATTTAACTCATTTACGGCGCTCAAGAATATTGAATTAATAGAAGATTATCAAGTGTAATTATATATTTCTGGGATGCCCAACGAACGTTAATTCTTTAATACAAATATAGGACAGATTAACATTTTGTAGTTAGTTGTTCTATTCAGATTTCCTATATTTTTTTGGTGAACGGCGATATTACTAGACCTGTATTTCGTTAAGAACTTACTTATAGTCAGAAGGATTATTCCGTTCTCGAATTGCCGTGCAGTATCAAAATTAATTAACTCAGGCGTCTTAATGTAATTGTCGTTGGAAATCTCATATACTAAGAGTAAATTTTCTTGCACACAGCATACATAAATAGTAATGATTTAAACATTTATTGTATAATTGATATTCCACATTATATACAAGCACATTCATAACATACCCATGGTATGACGGGGCCTTTACATTAATCGTAAAACAAACAATATCGACAAATCGCAAAATTCGTTCGAGGGTTTCTTCTTGGGAAGGGCTGGTGGCTACAACGAGATTATGACAGCTTACAAAACTTTAACATATGTAGATAAATAATTTAAAGTACGTGTAGTGAATTAAGTGGGCGTTGTGCCACGCCTACTGCTGTGCCGGACGCTGCACATTGTCGAATGGAACCAATATGCCGGGTGGACCTCCGAAGCGGCTTTGATAGCTGGACGAGGATGTCGTAGAAGAGGCCGCTGCGACCAAATTATGCTGTCGGGACTGTTGAGGCTGCTGGAAGGGCCGTGGTTCACCGCCTTGTGGCGACAATACTCCACTGGGGGCACCAAATCCACCCGTATAACGACCTGGATTGGCTGTAGGTCGCGCCTTGTTACCCCTCACGTTGTGGCTGAACTCGTGCTCGTCGCCAGCTACATAGATGTTCGGTTTGGCTGCGGGGACAGTGGCTGTACTGGAGACGCTGCCCAGTGGTTTTAGCAGACCAGCGGGTGCACCAAAGCTGCCGGTGTACTTGCCAGTATTGCTGGTAGAGGGAGTCGATTGAGGAATGGCGGCACCACCAACAGTGTTGACGCGAGTGGTGCTGCTACTGCCGAAGCCTGTAAAGACGTTGTTCGATTCTGCATCTATAGAGAAGGGGATAAGGCATTAGGGTTTGCTATTGGGAGGGATAATTAGATGCTTACCTTTGCGCTGTGCACCTAAGCCGTTAGTCACTGGGGTTGTAATAACCTTGCCCTCTTCGCTTTTGGTGTATTCAATCTTTTTGTTGGCTGCGTCTCCTGCAGGTAGAGATGGCGATTGCTGGAAGGGCGGGAACTGCTCATCAAGGACGGGCAGAGGCGGTTGTGTGGACGAGCCCTGTGGCTCCAGATGAGCTGCAAAATGTGTTACAGAGTTTGTACTAGTGGGAAAGTGTGTGGACGTGTGAGTGGCAAGGGCAATATGCTTGTTGTGCTGGCCGCCGTGCACATGATTGGCAGCCACATCGTCAGTGGCGCTGTCATCGACTTGCTCCGCTGGCGGTATAAGTACTAGTGGCGGCTCCACTGTATCGCTGTCGATGGATGGAAGCGGAAGCGTGACTTTTGATGGGAAAGCAGAAGAGGTTGTTACAGTTTGGCCTGCGAAGGAGGTTGGTGGGGAATTGGATTGGGATATGGTAACGCCAGCGGTGGCGGTGGCGGTGGCGAAGTTGGCATTCGTAGTGGTTTGATGAGTGAAGCCGTGGGGCTTAAAGTCATTGGGCTTAGTACCTCCTGACTGATGGTGGACGGTGCTGCTTCCCGTGTCCTTAAAGTTGTCCGGATTGTAGGGTACGCCTGGTCCGACATCAGGGTAATCGAAGTCTACCAGCCAGGGTGGGATGGTGGCCGAGTCGAATGGATTCCGCTCTGCAATTGGTGCAGCAGTTGTCGTTGTTGTTGCGCGCTCAAAAGGCTTGGGTGGCTGTTGCTTCGATAGCGGATCTGTGTGGGTGGTTGTAGTAGCTGTAAAACCTTGTTGTTGATGTTGTTGTGTGGTGCTGGCGACCTGATCTGTGTGCGTATTAAATGTGGGTGCATTCGTGATGATTTTGGGTGTTACTGCGGCGGTGGCGCGCACCCAATTAGGGCGCGTAGTTGACTGTGGCCGTCTTGTTGTTGTTGTTGTTGTTGTCGTCGTTCTCGTTGTTGGTGCTACGGTAGTTGTTGTTGTTATCGTTGTTGTGGTGCTGCGGGTTGGCGGGGGTGTCAGTTGTATGTTATGTAAATCTACAAACGGTTCTAGCGGTGGCTCTAGATCGTTCGCCAAGGTATGATTGTATTGATCATTGTCAGTGGGTACAATGAAGGTGACAGCAACATCCAAATCCGGATCAGTGACCTCCTGCAGCCAAGGCGGCAGGGTGTAGGCGTAGGACTCTTCATTATCCAGCTTATAAAAGGTGGCCGGATCGAGCGGTGTGGTGCTCAATGTTGGCAGAGCAGTAGTAGTCCTTGTGGTGCTTGGCCGTGGTGTGGTGGTTGTTCTTCTAGTTGTAGACGGAGTGGTTCGCGGTGTTGTGGTTGTGGTCGTTGTGGTGGTTGTGGTTGTGGGAGGTATGGTACTACGAGGTCTGGCCGTCGTCGTTGTTCTGGATGTGGTGCTGTAGTGTGCTGTGCCACGTTGACGATTTGGAAATCGTCCATTGCGTGGGGTTGTGCTGCCGACATGCGCGTTAGTACCATGTCCCTCCGGTCCATCACGTTGCAGGGGAACCACCGAAACCTGGCCCTCGGTCACAACCTGAGCCTGTGGTGACAGCCCATTGCTTCCACTGCTTAAGCTAACATGTATGTTGTGAGTGACTGGGTCCTCTATACCCAACACGTGCTTCGGATGCTGCTCGGTAATTATTTCTGGTTCTGGTTCCTTGATGGGCGGCAGCAAGTCCCAAGCTATGACACTTAAGGGCGTTCCATTTGGCGCAGGCGTCCATTCCACGGGCCCGCCAATGTTTGCGTCCTCAGTCTGCAGCTGAAGAATGTAGTCGGGCAGCGTTCCACCGGCCAGCTTCAATGTCTGCGCACTCTCCTCCTGGCTCTGCACTGGCACTGGCACAAGCTGTGCCTCCTCCACCTCTACGACTGTCGATGGGCTATGAATTGGTGGGGTTAGTGATGTGGCAAGTGCTGGTGGTGGTGCAAATGAGGTGTCGGTGCCGGTGTCGATGTCGATGTCTCCCGTGTCTGCGCTGGGCAGCGCCACCGCTATGGCATCTATGTGGGAAGGAGGTGGAGTTGAGTATTTAGAGGTTATGCGTTTTATCGTCTCAGAGTCTTGGGGAGCATGGGCATTTAAGTTACCGTTCCTCAGAGGGGGGTTTGGTCGTTGGTTGGAAGGGCGGTTCGCATCGCGAGATCGTGACACGGGACTGGGGTTAGGGTCGAGGGCTTCGGGCTCAATGGGATTGACTGTTAGGCGGGAGAAGTTGGGCTTGACATGGGGTTCATGATTAGGTGGAGGTGCAATAAGAGTGGTATATGTGGAGCGCTTGGTAGGTGTTAGTTCAACTACGTGGGTTGTGGGTGTGCTTGTGTTTGAGGGCGTGCGCATGCTTTTTGACTTGGCAGTGCTTATGTTAATTTCTTTGCCTGTGCGGGCTACTGTGGCACTTGTGGTTGTTTTTGTATTTGTTGTTGCTGTGATTGCCGTGACTGCTGTGGTTCTCGATGTGGCTTGGAGCTGTGCCTGATGAGCACTGCTTGCGGTGCTGCCTTCATCAGCAGCATCATCTTTGTTGCGGTTAGGTTCATTGCTTGGTTGAGAGTGTCTCTTTTTTTGTTGTGGGGATTTTGGCACATTTAACTCACCAATATGCGGTGGCAGCAAATCATCGGCTGGCTTGCGTATTTCCGTAATGCCCGACGCATAATTGGGTATTTCGAATTGCAAACCCTGAGCGCTGACCACCTTGCGCCCGTCGGGCGTATCGATCGGTTTCAATGTGTCAATGGGATTGCCATAGCTATCGATGGCCGTGCCGCCGGTTGGGTTGTCTAGTAAGGGCGGTTGTAATTCTAATGCAAATGGTGAATTATTAGCATCTGCAGAGAAGGGGAAAGTTGTGTTTTTGTTTTGTTTTGTTTTGTTCTTCTATATGTTTTGTTGTTGTTCGTGCTGTGGTTTGTTCATTGTGTTTTTGCGTAAAGTGTGTCATTTAATGGAGGTGGTGGAGTAGTGTGGTTGTTGTTGTTTGTGTAGAATGTACAGAAGATATACTTGTATGTATGTATGTAAGCATGGGCCGTCGCAATTGCTCGGCAATTTGCGTCAAACTCAAAGAGTTCAAAAGTGTTAGAAACAGAAGAAGATGGAGATAAAGCAGAAGCTGGAGCTGAAGAAGAAGAAAAGGCTCAAGCAGAAGCAGAAGCAGCTGCAGCATTAGAAGAAGAAGAAGCTGCTGCTGCTGTTCGCTTCGCTTGTCAGCAATTTGGCTGCCATTGCGAATGTTGATTGATTGACATTGCTAGATGGGCGATATTTTGTGTCTGTTGATGTGTTTGTGGCAGAAGTTGCTGTGTCTGTTGTTGTTATTTACACAAAGGCTTAGCACATACTATACATACATACATATACATAATACCTATATACGAGTACATAGATATGTACAATTTCAAGAGTTAGTCAAAATAAGCATCACACACATCTATATTTTTGGTTAGTAATGCAGTCGTTGTTGTTGCAAATGCTGTATTGTGTCAAGTGTTAAAAACAACACTAATTTGTACAAGAGGAAAATGCAAATGGCCAGCAATTGCTTTTAAATTGTTGTCTAGCAAATCAAGTTCGTTGCCTAAGTCATTTGTTTCGCGTAATTGAATCTCAGAGCACAGAAAATTGCATATTTTAGACCAACCAAGAGCGCCCCAAATGTCAAGTTACTCCAGATTTTCTAAATCACTCTAAATAAGTGCACATAAACTTCATTGCCCAAGTATTTTAAAACTGACATTGCTTTGAATCTCTTAAGATGCTGGGATTTCAGACCAAACACCTGGAAAACTAAGGCAACTGACTGACTATTTATTTACGTTTGTATTATTTGTGCAGATGTGAGTGGCTTGAGCTTTGGATATAGACTGTTTCTGTGCCTACCCCTTCTCACATTAGCTTTGTCGCATTTTGAAATTTTCTCATAAATTAAACTCTTTTAAATATCAAAGGCTCGCTGTTCAATTCGAATAGTGTTATACCTACTTGAAATTACACCCCTAAGGCGTTATTACCATTATTCAGATTTGTTAATAGAATACTAATACTTTTGAATAAATAGTATTATCTTGGCGAGTTGGTTCTCGGGTGCAGATGTGATCGAAACTGCCTAGTTAGAAACTATTTCTATGATAACAAATCTTAAAATATAATAATAAATAAGGCAATCAGTCAAACAACAATCAGTGCAAACTATTTTCTCTTTTGGCCCTAATTATGACAAGAAGACCAATGCCATCAACAGTCTAGATGACTTTATAAACCACAAGCAGCAAAAATCTGCTTAAATTATGATCCATTTTATTGTTTAAAATGTGTTTATTAAAAAATTTTGTAACTAACTTGAATGACTTGAATGAATTTTGAATGACTCTAGTTGAGATCCGTTACATAGAGTATTATTGTAAATTTTTAATAGCATTAGATGATTTCATAAATATCCTACACCGATTTAAAATAATTATAATACTCAAGCAAAAATCAAAATCGAAAAATATAAAATTTTTTGTGTCTCTTTGTAATTAAAAAAATAAATACTGGCAGTTCTAGTTTTAAAATATCCACTGCTGATAAAAAACAATTCCATTATAAATTCTAACATATTATTATTTAAGTAGTAAAGAACCCATATCTTACTTCCTACTCTGCTTCCTGCTAACAACCCGATCGTTTTTTTTGTTTTTTGTTATATACCTCAGATTAAATGTCATGTAACAACATCTCATAAATGAAAAAAATAATCTTTAAGTTTATTTAACAAATATATTATTGATTGTGCACATTGGATAGTCTTAAATAAAAACACTCTGTTGATATAAGATACTCAGATATCTAACCTGAATTACGATATATAATGAAAAGAGCGGCAATAGTCTATGTAAAGCGACTATCACACGAAGCTGAGGAAGAAAAAATAAAATTCCCGTAGTTTTGAAGAGAAATAAATATTTTCAATAATATTGAACAAAATTATAAAATTACATAAATTTAAATTGAATATAAAAATCTCTAGCTTTAGAAATGAAACAAATAATGTTCGGATTATTTTGAAGAAAATACTGACATGACATAAATTGATATTGAATTATTATATTATCCAATGATAAAACCTTAACTGTTTCCGTACTTTTATGGTCACAGAATAAACTTTAAAGATTTTGGAAACAAGCGAAAAATTGAATATGTGCTGAAATTTAAAATCCAAACCCCAAATGTAATCGTGGCATCTAATTTTCTTTTTGTTGTTAGCGACACTGGAAACATAAATACATATTAGTCGTGTACGTTTCCATGGATTTCACATGTAATGTACATTAATTTGGCGCCATTGTGTACCTTTGGAGAACTTGTTTTCCACATAAATTATCGCCAATTTGCTAAAATTATTACACGCGTTAATTGTTTGTCATTGTAAAAATATGCAAAAAAAATATATACATGAGTATATTATAATATTTACGTGCCTAAACATTTTTGAAATTTCATATGGAAGTCGAATCCTGTTTAATAAAAAAAAGTGATTTTATATGTATTCATTGTAGATATATAAGTATTTTATATTAACATGCTAATTGGCAGCGTTGTGTGAATACGAGTATATGAATGAATATTTTAATCAAGCTTTGGGGAATTCTACCTAAGTTCAACTTGACAAAACAAAGCAACTAGAATTATATTTAGTTGTGTGTGTGTGCGGTCGTGCCATTTGTGACTAAGCGTGGTGATGATGGGCGTATTGATTTCTTGATTGGCTAGACGTGTTGACTTGGCTTTGAGTTCCGGTAAGCAAACACATGTGCATTTCATAAATTTATAAATACTAAAAAGTTAATTCGCCATTCTTTGTATTCATTTTGGCCAACCCGTCAGGTTGATGCTGACGCTTGTTATCCTCCACACACAGTTCTCACAATCAGCATCAGCATTAAGTAGACACTTTTGACTGAAAGCTTATCAGTTTTCAGTTGAAAAATTATGATCACATCATTTATCAAAGACAGCCAACACCACTTGCAACATTCAGCCATATGGCCGTGAACTCTTAACGCTTTACGTGCCTCATTGTGAGTCTGAAGTCTGAGGTGAGTTGGAATTGTTTACAGATCTATAAAGACGACAGCACTGCTCGGCTATTAGGCATTCTAGCCGGTTCAACGAGTATGTACTTGGCTAATTGTGATGTGCATGTAAGTCGTGTGAAACCCCTCTAGATCAGCCCATTGTTAGGCCACAAAATTGATGGCAGAACTCTGAATAATTTCAAAATAATTGCGCAACAGGAAGCGAGACATCTTCAAGGCGCAAATGTCAAAATACAAATTCAAAAACAAGCATACAGGCACACCCAGAAATATAAAAAAAAGCCAACGCTAAACGTGTGCATCAAATTAGTTTTCAAGCTTAGTTTAGAACACGCGCCAATTAATTTTGCGTGTCGTCGTCTTTTTTCTTCATAATTTATTTTGATTTTAATTGATTAAGGCCTTCGCGTAAGCTGCAACTACAAAGCAATAGTAAAAATATGTACTTTATTTTATATTAATTTTTACAGTTGCCAATTTTACTGTTTGTTTGCTTGATTGTTGATTTTTGACAAGTTTTAGACATTTATGCAGCCTTCACTAAACTAACAACAAAATCAACAACAAAAACAATGAAATGTAATGCCTTTTGTTAATTTTGTTTGCTTTTGCTGTTGTGTTGTCGTCGTCGTCTTAGACCTTGAGTAATCGACTTATTGAGGAGCTGAAAAGCGCACAACCCACGACATCAGAAATTTATGTCAAAACGTTTATACTTTATGCCCCCAAAAAAGCGAAATAAGCTAACTGTGGCATCATCAATCGACTGAGAGCACAAAATATCCAAGTTTTGCTGTCAGCATGCCTTGTTCATTCTATTTTGTTCGTTCATAAATTTAAAATTCCCAGAGCGAACGTGTTTATTTAAATCTGCCATGCCTGCACTTGAAAACAAACGAAATTATAAACAAACGACTCACTAGCGCATTATACTCGTAAATGTCAAGGCAATTGTGAAATTTCAACTTGAAAAATTACAGAACGATCGGCATTAATTTACGAGAGACTTTTCGCAAACAAGCGCCAAGATTTTGAAATGATAATCGATCTTCTCGCTCACTGCATATGTTGCTAGTATTTTAGGAAAGATTTCATTTCTCCGACAATTCCGGTAATTCAGGCAATGCAATGAACAAACAAACAGTTAAATATAATTCAATGCTTTTTAAAATCAAATCGGGTCTTCGGTGCTTGTTAGCCTAATTAACTTTACTGCTCCTCAAAGACCTCCAAGCTTTTTTGCTCCCATAAGCCTGAATCGATGTTCGGGTTCTATGTAGCAACTATAATTAATTGAGTCATCTCTTTGGCCATGAGAGCTCAGTCATTTTGATTAAACCATGCATACAAAATTTCCTAAGGTCTGAATAATGAATAATATTTGTTGTTGCTCTTTAAAATCTTTACTCTTTTAAGAATGGTTGTAATTTTATTTAATTCAATTTTTTTGTTTTAATCGTTTTTCTTTTTATAATCTGAATGTATATATCGTATGTTTTATGTTATGATATTGATAGCCATTTGTCAGAAATAAATTTTAAAATCAACATTTACTGGAAGTCCGTTAGATTAATTATCTCTATATAGATGCCGATATTAAATGTTTCTAAAGTATAGTATTTTGTCTTTTTTGTATTTTGCAGCAACAAATAGTAAAAGTAAAGTTCAGTAAATCATATCCATCACTGATATTCAATGAATAGCACAGCATCGTCCTTCTAGATTTAAAAAATGTATGAATTGTAAAGGAGCTCTCTCTTTTTTTTATCAGTCTGGTGTCTTAAAACTTGGTGTAATTTGGCATAAATGAAAATTTACAAAATTTGAGGTATTTTTTTTCAATCTAATTATTCTAATTATTGTAGAAAACATGCACCAAGATTTTGGAAAAATAATCGATCTTCTCACTCACTATATTCCTAGTATTTTAAGCATGATTTTAGTTCCCCAAGTACCCAGTAATTCAGACTATGCAGAGAACAAACAATTAAATACAATTCCATGTTTTTTAAAATCAACATTTACTGGAAACCCCTTAGATTAATAATCTCTATACAGATGCGGATATTACATGTTTCTAAAGTATATTAATTTGTCGTGCAGCAATAAATAGCAAAATTAAAGTTCAGTAAATCATATTCATCTCTGATATTCAATGAATAGCAATGCAACGTCCTTCTAGATTTAAAAAATGTATGAATTGTAAAAATTTTTTATCAGTCTCGTGTCTTTAAGCTAATTATTCTAATTATTGTAGAAACTGGACATATATTTTATTTGTCGGTTTCATGTCAAAAATATTGCACCATTTTTCGTTATTGAGTCAAATAGTTATGATGCAATGTTGTTTTTAATGCATTTCTGTATTAATGCATAAGCCTGTTAATGATCACGTGCCTTGGGCGCCTGGTTGGCCATCTCAGCCTAATATCTGGCTGTGGGCAACCTTTTATCTACGTAAGTATGTATATTGTATGGGCCATTGTGTCAGCTATTAATTACAACATAGATACGTATGTGTGTGTATAGGAGTGTGTGAGCACTTTGTTGATTCGCTGGTTTATGTAAGTTTTAGCACACCAGACCAAATTCCACAGCGTATCGTATTAGTTTAATGAAATAACAAAGCCCAGCCATAAATCACAAAATAATGAAAATTCAGCTTAAACCCATTATTGTTACGCTTATGGAGCACAAAGAGGTATGCGAAATTGTTAATTATCACGTACAAATAAGTATATCTTATGATGAATCGATTGACGCCAGATTCATTCAAGTGGCAAAAAATGTGGCAAATAGAAAATCATAGAAATAATAAGAGCAGCCGTGTGAAAACAAGCGAGAAAAAAAATTGAAAAGCCCAACAAATAACACTCTATACGGAAATAAATAGAGAAAACGAATATCAATTAAGCGTTTCATTGTTGAGACTTCAACAATGGCAACCATTGTCCGGGCCACACGAAGAAGACGCGACAATGCAAAACCGATAGATAATGCAAAAGGCGATCAAAGACTCAATTGATTGAGATGCAGTTGTTGGTCAGTAGGTTTATGGGCAGTTCAAACAATATTTGAATTATTTCTTTTTAATATTAAATTGATATTGCCATTTGAAATCCAGTTCTCATAATGACCATGAAAATACTTGAATATTAATCAGGACACGGAAATATACTGGACCAGCCCAAAAGATTAGCGTTTTTTTTTTTTAAATTAGTATGGAGAGACAAACTCCCATCAAATCCCATCCATCTGGTATTTTAAGACTATCGCACTAGCTCACCAATCAGGCATTTGTAAAAACTAAATTCCGGGAACGTATTCTAATATCAACCTTTTTTCATTATATTAATTTTTAAAACTTTAAAAGTTCAATACTATGCTTTTTGTGTTGCCTAAATTTAGTCTATTATCGGCTTTTAATGATAAAGGATTTATTGTACCTAATTAATACTTATTGGCAATTAATTATAGTTTATTTTAAATAAAGAGTACATTTTGAAAAGAGAACTTATGCTTCCATTCCTGGAAATGTGACGACCTTAAATAACTATACATTTGGGAGATACCAGTATGTTATATGAAAATTAAAAGCACTGGTTTTGTATTCTGTTTATAAATATAATTGTCTCATATTATTACACATATTGTGTTTAACACTCGTTGCTGTTGAAAGTATTGCTATTTTTTATGTCCATTTGATGGGATTGTCTCTCTCAGTACATTTTCATTCAACCGCGGCACACAATATGTTCGAATTACTTCTAATATAGTCTTGTAAATAAAAATTACTTGGAAAATTCAAATCGATTCAATCATACGATCTTTTATCTGGAAAATATTTCATATTTTCTTCTATGTCATGTCTGTATACAATTTTCGCTGAGAATTAGTTATTAGGCTAAACCAGTTTGTATCCAAATCATTCAAAACAAACAAAAAATTACTATGTGAGTAGCGCCATAAAATACACTGCATTTTTAACGAGAAGTAAACAAATAGAAGTTCGTATACATGTATTTATACAACTTCTGTGCAAACTTTTTCAAAGTAAGCTAAAAATTTCAATCGATCGAAATCTCTGTGTCCTAAACTTTACTGAAAAGCTATTAAATGTAACCATATATTTATTCAGGCCTCTTTAACATTTAGAGTCCCTGTATTAAAAACTCGTTTGCTCATAAATATTCCAACAATATTCCAACATTCCGGATCGCAAATGACGAGATGGGAATTAAATAAAATATATACACTGTATGCTGAGGGAGTTGTAGTTACAATGGATGGGAATCAGTACTTATTGGTGTGGAAGATTTTAAAGCTTCATTTATGTATCAGATTTTGTCGAAATTTTCATTTAGAAGTCCATGAAACCAAAGGTATTCGCCAAAAACCACAGCTCGAGGCTGGTGTACGTCCCATAAACAATTCACATTATAAAAAAACTGAGCTCAAAACAAACCTATAAATGCAACAACAAGAAAAGGAAAAGAAGTTTAGTGTAAACAACAGCGAACAAATCGTAATAACAAAAAGCGAGACGAAAATTTATAGACTTGTAGACTTGGGGCCAAGTAGAAGATGCATACTTGTACAGAGAAGTTGGAGATGACGCCTGTGCGTCCCAGAGGTCGTTTCTTTGACAACTACTAGCGAATGTTGTCCCGCCGGCTTTTGGCCATGTTAAAGCCAAAGCCTTGCAACGCTGCCGCTCAGTTTGTATTACATAATGTTCGTTAAGCTGCTGTTGAGGGTTTTCAGATTTCGTTGTTGTTGATGTCGCTGATATTGTTGATATTGTTGAAATTGTTGCTAAGGTCTGTAACCAGCAGCTTCTTTGCATTGACTTGGATTTCATTATCTTTTGATGCCTTTGGGAACTATAATTGGTTTGTTGTTGCTGTTAAGCTTAGTATGTGTTTATTTATTTTAAAAAGCTACTCTATTTTTTCTATGGTCCACCCCATTGAATAGTTGTCGGTTTGTTTGTCCAATAAACATATACGCGGCTATTACATTTAAGAGCGTTTGGCAGCTAATTGGTAGCTCGCCGTCATTTTCTCTCCCAGAGGCGTTGATGTGCCAACTAGTGACTGGAAGACGGCGGTTAATGTTTGACTAGGGCGCAAAAAAAATACTCGTATACTTGTATGTATGCCAGTATGTATCTGTGCGTAATGCGTTTAAAAGTAAATACAAGCTATACTCAAATTTCATTTGGTATTTGGGTCAAGATTGCGTCAAAGTTTGCATTATGTGTGTGAAAGGATACGGACCGATCAGGGTGATAAAATATTGAGAACATAATATGTATGTATGTGTGTGATTATGTGTGTATGGATGTGTTTTTCATGCAAAGGTTAGCACAGGTAGGCAAGACAAATATAGAGAGACAGGAGACTGAGATACAATAATAGGCCCAGCTCTAAGGTAGAAACTACAGACTAAACATATTAACAAACACAAAAAACATTTAAATTTAAGAATTTTAAAAATTTGGAAACAATTAGTTAAAAACAAGTTTTGTTAGGGAAAATAAATAAACATACATTTCTAAGGGTACATAAAATATTTACAGCCATAAAAAACCGTCTTAAATACTTAATTTAATTGAATAATATCGATGTTGAATGCAATCAAAGCAGGTTTGTTCTCACATAAAAAAATCTTAGCCCAAATCCGGCTCTACGTATATTTATATTTATGATTACTTAATTTTGCTTTTGAAGTTACATTTTTTTGGTACTTGAATCTTGACAAATTCAATTGACAGATCTGTGTTGATTATAAAATAACTAAATTAGAATCATTGTACATATTTAATATTTTTTCTAGAAAATGAATGAATGGAGTACTACTATAAAAAACTTCAGTTTAGTAACTTCATTAAATAATGATCATTTCCTTCAATATATTTCCAATGATTTAAAATATATATCAAGTGTGAATTTAGTAAAAATATTACAAATAACCAATAAGAAACATTTTTAAAAAATATCAAGAAACTTTTTAAAGCTCTTGATTTATTTTTGGAAATTGTATCCACTAAAAAGGACGAGTTAGTAACAAAGTCTAACAAAAAACATTAAGAATAAGGTTTTGATTCGCAAACGCCCGACTCTTGTATGTCATAAGACTTAAATAAACTTTATAACCAACTAATATACATAGTTTGTAATAAAATCGTACTGTGGAATTTATTAATTTCTTTTTTATATGTAGATGCAAACCCCACATTGAATATTTTGTTTGTCTATGCGCAACTCTACTTGCCGAATTGGAGTTGTTTTTTGTCCAACTATTTTATATATGCATGAGCAAATTGAACGGCAGATAGCTGCGTTTAATAATGATAAATTATTACCTTCAGGTTAGATACATTTTTATAATTACTACTTATGCATTTTTTGTTGATACACATTTTTCAAATGTCTGCATAACCTTAACAGCTTTTTATTTGTTGCTGTAAATATTTTGTACCCCACAAATAGCTTAGGAGGTTAAGTTATAAATGTTGCCAAAACGGCGTTAAAAATTAGTAAGATTAGCTTTTAAACACTGGCCGAACACGAACACGCAACGCAAAATCACACATGCGTACACGTAATAAATAATAATCGAAAACGGTAAGAGGTGCAAAAGGAAACTACGAACAAACACTAATTACATACGAGTATCGTAATATCATATTGCTATGCAAATTGAATAATAATCGGAGTGGATCATAAAAGGAAATACCAAGTTTGTCGGGCGCTGGCGCGGGTGCGCTTGCAATCAGCGTCGGCGTCAGCGTCAGCAGCAGCAGTGTAACGGTAATGGGGAGCATTCTGATTAGAGGTACGGGCACAGCTGGTAGTGTTGAACAATTGCAAATAGTAGATTATGTGATGATTGTTATTTTTTGTATTATTATTTTCTTTATGTCATCAGAAATTAGTCACGCAATTAACAATTTAGAATTTCGCATTGCCCAAAAATCGAAACGAAAGACGCGACTACGAAAGCGACAACTTCGCAAAATAATTAAGGCGTAGGCAGTCGAATAACAATGATCGGCTTGGCGCTGATGACAACAGAGTCCCAGACGACGACAACGCAACCGCGGTATTTCCAAATACAAATAATATATGTATGTATGTATGTATGTAGTATTAATTTTTTTGTCGGCGCTGCACACAAAATTCAATCAATTGTGACACGATCACGATGCACGTTAGCGTTAGTTCAAAAAGTAACGCAAGGCAAGTGTGAAGAAGTTACTAGTTGGGTTGAGAGTTTTAGACCTGCTCTCCAAGATGCAAAACGAAATGCGCGACGCGGCGACAAAAGCGGCTAGAGACTTAAACTGAGACTGGCGAAGCGCGACACGTCCGTAGCTCACGAATTCTGCGCTTTCAATAAACTTTGATGGAAGCGCTAACGGCTCGAGACCTGAAGCTGACAACAAACAACAACAACCAAAACAGCAACGGCGTCGAAGCAGCGCAAGTGCTAGAGCCAGCGCAGCATCCGTCTGCGTCGACGTTGGCATGGACGCCTGCGTCAGTGCTTTTTTGTTTTTGTTTTGAATTACGCGCACAGGCAACAGTAAATAAAAATAAATAACAGCAATATTGTTTATAACTAAAGAAAAACTGTAGGATTGCTTTTGGCATACAGCATGTATGTATGTATGTTTGTATTCAAATCGTGGCTCAGTCGCTTCGTCCATCTTCAAAATTAAATTCATGTTTTGTTTTTCTAGCTTTGCACTCGAGTTCTATTGTGCACTGCAAGTTCTCATTGTACACCAAAACCGGAAAGTGAAATTAATTGTTTTAATTACAATAAATTATACATATTGCATACTTGAAACGACAACTAACCTCAGTTAGTTTTATACTTACTATACACCCAACCGTATAATATCGAATATAAATAGCTTTACTTTTCCAATGCCATTCAAGGTCAGCATTTACATACATACATACATATAGTATCGATATTTACATACATACATATCTCTGAACAACGTGCTCCACATATCAACGTATAGCTAACCGGACTACTTCAACGATCAAAATGACATCAAATGTATCTATAACTGTTTCCAAGACAGGTTCATACATATATTTGACAACTTTTTTGCTAGCTTGGCACATAAACTTACCCACAGCCACTAGAAACATCTATGTATGTAGTATACTCGTACATAACTTAAACAAATATTCTACGAATATGCATAAGAATCCCGTTTGAGACGCTTTTATGGCTTTCGTTTTCATTTCAGCATGATTGCTAAGATTGAATGTTACGGGCATTCTGTTCAAGAGCCCATATGACTACCTAAAAACAATGAAAATATGTGAATATATATCTAAATATTTGTCAATAAATTGAATTTATAAAATAATTTAAGCAAAAAAAAAAACCGGATATGAAGAAATAGATGAATACAATTTTCCATTGATCGGACACTAGGAATTTCCAACTCCAATTAACATAAGAAAAAGTAATTCTTATTAAGTAATTTAATTTGATTTTTTTTTAAATTTAAATAAGATGAAAAGTCCATATGATAAGCATACAACAAGAAAGGAATGCTAAAGTCGAGCAGGCTCAACTCTTAAATACCCTGTACCACCCCACAAAAAAGTAATTAAATTAATTTAATTAAATTAATTAATTAATTTAATTTAATTAATTAATTTAATTAATTAATTTAATTAATTAACTAAATTAATTTAATTAATTAACTAAATATTCCATGCATGCATAGATACATTTACATTTACATCAGAATCGTGCCTTATGCGTGTTTGTGTACTTGTACATATGTATGTATGTGTGCATTGGGCCTGGTTATATGGCTATAACTTTCTTTCCGATCATTCTATCATAATGAAACTTGGTATACGGATATACAATTACTAACTGGATGTGTCTACCAAATTTTAGTTCAAAATTCCAAGAATTACGGGAGTTATAGAAAATCGTTAATAGGGGGGGAGTGGAGGGGTGGATCAGAAAAAATGAACAAACTCGTCCTTTCTCGGTCTCAGGAGAATCTGTATACCAAGTTTGGTTATTCTAGCTCTTATACTTTCGGAGATCCTTGCGTTCATACAGACAGACAGACAGACAGACAGACGGACAGACGGACAGACGGACAGACGGACAGACGGACATGGCTATATCGACTCGGCTTGTCATGCTGATCAAGAATATATATACTTTGTGGGGTCTACCAAGCCTCCTTCTGTGTGTTCCATGTGCACTCGCACAAAACTAATATACCCTTGTACCCTTTGGGTACAGGGTATAAAAAGAACGAAATTTGACAAGTTGGCACTTTTATTTCTCATTGCCACGATTCACAGCCAGACCAAGTCAGAGACGTTAATAGGCCTTGCAAACAAATTAGTATTATAAAAACAACTTCTAAATTAAGAGTAATTTAATTAAAGACAAAAACGGAACATATCAAATCCGGTTGAGTAAAAATTAAGATCCCTGCTCATAGGCCAGTATTGTTATAGATTTTCACGAAAATTTGTAAGAGGAACAAATTATAATAAGGAAAGAAAAACAACTGCAACCAGAAAAGGATTGTACATACTCACATATGTATATATAGTATCTACGTACGAAGTGTCTCTCGATGTAAAAGTGCAAAAGATGCGAGTGTTGAAGAGAATATAGTACATTGAGCAACGTTAAATATGATTTAAAAAATCTTTTTTGTTTCATTTTGGAACAAATATTAACATATGTATATATTTGTTTTATTTAAAATTTAGAAATTAACAAACTTTCTCAAAATGTAATTTAGGTATCATTATCAATATAATGATTTATGATTTAAGAAAAATATACCTATGTATTTCTGAATATATGTTTTATTAATTGCGCGATGATTATTAATTACAATTAAAAAACAATAATCAGATCCAAAGGAGTAGTTACTTTCGTAGCTTGTCCATTTCCGTCAACATATAAATTAATGTACGTATTTTGAAATTTAATGCAACAGTATGTAGAAAACTATGTCAGTTGCAATTGTTCCGCATAAAGACTTTACCGGCATTTGCGACGCCTGATGTCTTCCTATGTGTCATAATGATAATGTATAAATGAACTGAACGATTTGATGATGTCAATGATTTTCTTGTTTGCTTCGCCACGACAACGAGAGTCACGTCTGCTGGCCCACAACATTATTGTTACAATTACACAAAAGCATTACCAAATAGCGTTAAAGATGCCCTTTTGTCTATGGCTGTGTCTGTGTCTATGCCCAAACGCTGACTATCAACAGTAGCGGCCCGGCGTCCGACAATAAATCAAAATGCTTAAAGTTAGGCGCCCAACAAAGCCATCAATGGGCATAAGGCAGGCCGAGCGAGTTAAGCCAGTTGAGTGGGGCAGCAGCTTCACAGTCAGAGAAGTAATCAAAACTGTATTACGAAAACAAGCGTTTTTATAAATATCGTATATTTTTTTGTAACAATGGACCAGCTCCCTAAGGGGGACAGTAGTGTGAAGTCTAGCTCGAGATAAAGGCCGGGCAAAACCGCGATGTCAGCAGCACCAACAAACTTAGCACTCGCAATGCATCAACACACAGTCACTGCACAGTGTTTAATGATATATAGTACATATATTTTAATTGAGTCAGATTTGTGCCGCTTAGAGGGTCGGGGTCTGGGAAAATGGTGGAAAAACTAAGTAGCTTCATTTCTGATGGCAAACCTTCACCTTTATTATAAACCCTGACCCCCTAGCTCCAGTTAAGCCAACATTTGAGAAAATGCGTGTGCATACAGACATTAAAAGCTAATCTGATTGTAATTAATTACTGAAAATACATTTAGTTATATCGTCGTCATACAGGTTCAATTTTTTCTGGTCATAAAAACATTATGTTCTTTCATATTGTGTCCCGACTTATTTGTATTAGGAATACTCGAAAAAAAAAAAACGATTTTTTGTTTGTTTTAATATCAAGTACAAAAAGTAGGCTTCAAAATTCTTGTTTAATTATAAAATTCTACACTTATGTAAGTAAGTTTATTTAAACCTATTTCATTCCTATTTATTTGATGTCTACATTTCTACTCGAATGGCTTGGTTTCAATTTTACAGTGTAAATTATTTTGTTGTACTTGTATTTAAATCCCTTTGCAACTTATATCGAAAGTTTAAGACTTTTGAATACTTTTTGGTTAAAAAATTAGCTTCAATCTCATATATTGACTATCGTTAACAAGGCTTGCATTTGTACCCGAAAACAATGATCAACATAATTTAATGGATATCTTTAATTCCTTGATATGTACTATGCGGTATTCCAGCAGCTCATACGTTTGGTATCCGCAGTATTAAAAGAATGGGTCCTTTGTTTTCTATCATTCCCAACCATCTTTTGCTTTTTTTTTCAGCTTATTATTGGCAAAGTAAACTCTTCTCTGACTTCGCTGTGATCCGATTATAATAAGATTTATCACCCATTGTCAACAGAAAATACTCTCGAAGAACGTAGCTTTTTAAATATTTCCGTGGAAATATCGGAATCGCTTACCAGATCGGCTATTAAACCTGCCCCCAAAAAGCAATTATAGCTTTTATTAAATTGAATAAGGTTTCCTTCTTTTAACTTTTCTTTTATAGGAAATTGTTTGTACCTTTCGTTGGTTATATAGGTCTTTGACCTGATATGAAGAGATGGCACAATTAAAAATTCCTTCAACATGTTGGAGGCGTTATTATACATAAATATTTGTAATTCATTTCGGCTTTTTGGAAATATATACGAGTTGACTTATAAATATGTATGTATGTATATTGAAGATTTGGGAAAAATGTAAGAAATCTGGGAAAATAAGTCGCAGTGGAAAAATTCGTCGTGATAGCTCTAAAAGTGTGGCAGTAGTGAATAAAACATATACTTTTATAAGCTAACAATTAATTAATACTTATGTACTAAGTTCATTAACTGGAGTCAAGCACTGCTGTATTATTTGCCTAAAACTGCACACGCACTCAATACGTTTTGATGTAAGTATGTATGTATGCACAAAACATACATACATAAGTGAATAATTCGTTGAACTCATAAAGTTAAAGACCAGGCTCTGACACAGACAGGACGGCGCACGTTTCCGCTTTAAGTGAAATCGAGTTTATTGGTTTTAAAAGTATTTTTAAAACGCTGTTATCTGTCAACATGAAATTAAACAAATGATTCTGTGCATGCCTGAAAATGGTCAAAGCATTGCTTATATACATTATTTGTTGTTAATTCAATCGTGTAGTTCAAAAACAATTTTTGGAAATTTCGCAACCAGTTTTCAATTTTACATGATGAGTCGGATGTGTATAAAGTCGCCAAAGATGCAGTTGTCGCTTACACGCGGCAGAGCTACTTAAAAAATGTATTTTTTCGAAAATACACTGAACACTCCAAAATACTTGAAGCACTAGAGACATCCATAAGCCAAGTCCGGAGACTGATTGAAGACCGAGAGACCAGTTTTGGGTTATGAGTGCTGAACCAGTTGGTGCGCATCTTCTGTAGAAAAAATAAACAAAGCTGAAGCCAAACAATAACAACAAAAACGAAAACTTTATTGCAAAAATATTGAAAAAATGCGTTGACAACAGCAGCAATAACAACAACAGCGAGATCATATATGTATGTTGTTGGTCACCCTGACCTTAACACAAATTTAATGTTATACATTATTGTTGCTGGCTACGTGCAGCTTTTGTACAAGTTTAAGACGGGATCATTTTTGTTTTCGATTGGGTGTAAGTATGGACCTGGGCCTCCACCAGGGCCTCGGCATAGGCCGGTCATTCATATGCAAAGAGCTTAACCAGCTTGCATTTGCTATATCAGACTGCTCAAAGCACAACCGCTGACATTTTACAAAAATGCGGCTCCGCCTGATCAAGTAAAATTAATTAATATGCTTTTTATTGCCAACGCGCAATTGCTTTGCCCGGCTGCCTGCCAGTTAAATGGAATCGTTTGTTGAATCACATTGGGGCAGAACAAATGACGGTGCTGGCGACGATCCAGTCCAGATCTATTTTATATGAGAAAAAAAAAACCCAAAAACATTAGCCTCATTAATTTCATGTCTTTGATGGGGGCGTGCGTTCATTGTGGCTTTCAGTTCGTGCGAATTTGCGTGGGTTTTTTCTACGTTAATCGAGCGTTCACACATTGAACACGCTATGACAGAAGAAAGTCAAGAATAACCAGAACAAGTTTTCATAATATCAATAGCTTTGAATTTAAGTGCTTAGGCATGTCAGCTTAAGATAACGCTGCTACTGCCATAGCTGTTCTCAAAAATAATACAATACATTAAATAAATTTTCTTGTTTACAGATTTTAATAAATATTTTTCTTAAATGTTGTTGTTTAATTCGAAGCCGTTATTCATCATGTCATTTAATTATTTTTTCTTATTTCGTAAGTGTGGACACACTTTAAATGTGCTTTGTGAGTGTTGGAGAGTGCTGGTGGTTATTTGCAGCTCAGCTGATGGCCCAAACAAAAAAGGGTTTTCCAATAGGATAATTAGCAGCAAAATCAAATGAGTTCGCTCTTTCGCAGCCTCAACTTCGCAACGAAACGTGAAAATGCAGTAAAAGAAGCGCTAATAAATACATTGAATGAAAATGCGCGAGAAATTGAGTTTGAAGTCAAACAGAAGGGTCTGGGTAAGTGTGAAGTTTGAGTTATTAAAGTGACTCATCTACTTCCGCCCCTTATATACATATGAATACTCACATACATTCATATGTACATATGCATGTAGAATGTGTGGAGTTATGCGAACAAACAAGCGGGCTATGCACCACCCTGGAAGCGATTTTTTTACACGGACTGAAAGATTCCTTCTTATGGGCCACTATCAGTGTTATAGCAGGAGACGTAGAAAGACGTCCGGAGCCCAGTTTCTGGGCGCCAGTTATGGTTTTCATGCACAAGCAAGTAATCGAACAAATTCAGAGCTTAAGTCAGATTACATCAGAGATTGGACAATGTCGTGCTTGGGTGCGCCAATCACTGAATGAATCCGTCTTCTCTGCTTATTTAAATAACATACGTAAAAATGGGTCGGCGTTGCGACCATACTACAAAAATTTGGCCCTGCTGAAAGATGGTGATGCCCTGGACACGGTCATAAAGATTATGGAGAGCCTGGAGGCCTATGTGCAATTTTCTTTACCCGTTAACTCAAGTCTGCTTAACCAATGGCCCGATTATGCGCTACAATTATCTGGCTTATGGACGCCGCCACTTAAATCATGCCCGGTACGTATTAAAAATGAAACATGCAATGTTGTGTTATATGAATATTTTTACTTGTGATTTATACAGATTAGCAGTGGTGTGGACATTGCCGGTTCTATACCCGCCGATACCGTGCCCATACCTACACCGCAGCCTGTGCGTACTAACGAAATTTTCTCAGAATCCATTTCCAACAGTCCATTCAGACGTGGCTTAAATTTTGGTGTCAGCGAGCTAACTACGCGTGAAAATCTTGAGCTAATAATGCAAAAGGTAGATGAAATGGATATAATAAGCGAGGAACAAGAGAAATCTCAAGCCGAGCCCTCACCTGAGGCTACAGCGGTTAGCACTGACCCCGAAGCAGCAGCCTGCACTAAACCGCGACGTCGGAAGAAGTCGAAGGAGCAATTTACGCGTAGCATTGACGAGCCGTTCGCTGACTTGGCCGAGGCAAGCAGCATGCCACATGGCAGCAATTCCTTGACTAATCTTATGCAAACCTCCTGGTCCGCTGACCTCAACTCAATGGATAATCTGTCGTCTCACAGCTTTCAAAGATCCGTGAGCATGGTCAGTTCAACGAGCTCTACATTGCGTTCTCCTCTGACCGATCGCTGCAGTTACAATGCCCTACTCCGCAAGCATGAGCGCAATCGCGAAGCAGGATGGTCTGAGATTTGGGAAAAGTTTTGCGCCAGCGCCTCTGCGTTAAATGTCACCCAACAACAACAGCAACAGCGAGAGAGCGAGAGTACAATAGCGGAGGATCTGAGCGACCTAGCCTCTTTGGATAGTCACGTTAGTAGGAGCTTTCGCGCAGTATATTTATAACCTAATGTTGTCCGCCTCTATTTTGCAGACCAACTCGGACTTTGAGCTGGTAACCTCCAACTTTGACATGGCCGAACTGCAGCAAATGGTGGCCCAGTTGTGCCAGATGCCTCGTGAACTTGGACTGAATGCACAGGGCTTTCTGTGCAAGAGCTGTCAGTATCCACTCGGCATTGGTCATGCTAAGTATCAGTAAGTCCTATATTAGACTTCAGTCGAATTTTCTAGTCTAGAGCCAGGCTTGTCTTCCACAGAGTTTGCGCCTTCAGTGGAGATTACTATTGTAATAGCTGCATGGACGTGGAGACTGTGCTTATACCAGCACGCATCATTTATAATTGGGACTTTCGCAAGTACAATGTGTCCAAACGAGCAGCCACCTTTCTGGCCGAGTTTCGAGCACAGCCTTTCATAGACCTGCAGCTACTGAATCCCAGCATTTATCACGCATCCGAAGCCATGGCGGAGCTGCAATCGTTGCGCATACGCCTCAACTTTATACGTGCTTACCTGTACACCTGTGCGCCCTCCAGTATTGAGTTGCTGCAGCGTCAGTTCTGCGGTCGGGAATATCTCTACGAGCACATACACCAATACTCAATAGCAGACTTGGGACATATTCAACGCGGCGTTCTCTGCCAACAGCTGCAAAAAGCTTACAAAGTCGGGGAGGCGCATGTGCTCAAATGTCATCTGTGCCAATTGAAGGGCTTTATTTGTGAAATATGCCAGGGACAACGAGTGCTTTATCCATTTCACATAGATACGACATTTCGGGTAAGTGAGGCAATCATCTGGAAATTTCTCGACTCAATATCAAGAACTTTTGATTGCAGTGCGAAACTTGTGGTGCTGTCTTTCATTCTCATTGCCTCAACGATCAGCAGCCTTGTCCAAAATGTGAACGCCGACGCAAGCGCGAGGATCAGCCGCTGCAGGAGGTGGTGGAGAACTTAAAGCTAAAACATGAACAGATGGCCTAGATTGACTTGAAATATGCATTCATAGCTTGTAAGATAAAAAAGTGCTATTGTTTTGTTTAAGGGGTTTATATTTAATTCAATTTAACCAAGGCCTTAAAATAAGTTGTAAATGTTGTTATTACTCAAAATGTTATGGTATTATGAATTGGCTTTGTTCGTATGGGAATAACATAGAATCGGGTGCAGAATAACATATTTCAAGTCAAGCTTGCTTTTGTTTTAGCAAAACAAATATTATATCGATGCATTTTTGTGAATATGCCCGCCTCTAAAATTGAAATAAATAAATTTAACAATTGTTTTAGCGTTTTAATTTATTTATACACGTTTTGTAATTACAATACAATATGATAACGACAATGAATTTTGTAAAGATTTGTGTTACATTTTCATCAACGAATAGCGCTGCATGACACGATAATGGCTTCGAAAAATGCCGTATAGAAAAAACTACAATACAATAGTAACAACAAAGTGGTCTCTTATGAAACAATGATTTTATTTGTTAATGAATATTATTGTTATTTAAGATATTGCCAAACTTTTAACATATGATTTACGTTTAAAATTGTTTCAGAATAGTTACAAATTATCACAAAATACTGATCAACGATTTTCTATTAAACAAATAAGATCAATACCAATAGATGAAAATGTGAAATGTTGCAATTGTGTGTATATTTGGGGCTACTTGTTTGTGACAGTTGTTGGTGGGCACCAAGCACTAAAATATCTCCACATCGGAATCTCGTTTGAACCATAACAATCCTCCTAATCGTTGCAAAGTGTGAGAGTTTCACTCGCAAATATAGGATACAAATTGGAAAATATCCATATACTACTTTTTGCAGCGAATATTGCAAGACACTTTTGAAAACAAATATTGGTGTTATTAAATATCCCATTTATCTCAATTCTCATTCATGTAGTTGAAGTGTGTCAAGTTCCAAGCTATTCTGTGGGCTTATTGCTAACTAAAAATAGCAAAGATATACGTATAATTGTCCTCGTGCCTTGGTAGTTAATATTTTTGTGCTCTCTATTTGGATGTAGATAGTACGTACTTGTAGAATGTACATATGTGTGTACGACATTGGCTATTGACTATTGGCTACTATAAATATTTGAATGCGGCTTTAAGGTTAACATTGGTTACAAATCGCATAAGTTTTCAGTCTAGTTAGAGAGACGATGCCCACATATTGTTCATATACAAATACACACTTATACTCGTATGTATGTACATACTTGTACACCCATATGAAATGGGATTTAAGGGTCTTAGCTACCCTAATGTTGCATTACGTTAGTAATTATTTAATTTCACTAAACTTAAAGTGCGCTAATTAGAATTTAAATAATTGCGTTTAATATATATACAACTTTAGAACTCGGTTTTTCATGTTGCTGTTAAAGTCAATAGCATTTCTAACTCATAGTCCGTTCCTTTACCATTCTTTTCACAATAGTTTCTTTTTATTTGATTAGATTCAGTTTACCGCATACGATTTAGATGTTAATCCAGCTGTATTAAAACCGGCACGGGCCCCTTCTTTTAGTTTTTTTTTTTTCAAACTCTCCAACAATCGAAACGTAACTTTGACAGGAACACGTAAAATCGCGTTTTTGTTTAATATATTTATGTTTGTTTGTACAGTAGATATCGGCTATATGATCTAAACATTTTTAGATGATGATCTTGCCTCTTCTATAGCCGTCATCTACTATAATTGCTTTTATGTATGCTCTTATATTGTTGTAGCCTTGTGCGCAAAGGAAGACGACAGGATTCACAATTCTTGCAAGGGAATATGTTTAGAAAACATTTAACATTGTCCTTCAATTATGTTGTCCATTTCTTTTTTCTGTGTTAATGTGTGCATAGAGATTCACTGACTTAGAAATGAATGGTAACATTTATCTACAGTATAATAAATTAGATAAATTTTACCAAAAAAAATGAACGAATCAAGTTATAAATTGCCAACGTGTGCATATCAATAACTGATGCTAACTGACCTAGCGAGAAGGATCGCCTCTATGGGCCTACATGGTTCGACATGTTTTAGAAAATTTGAGTTCTTTATTTAATTTGTATAATTGTAAAATTTATAAGGTATATTTCATTACGTAAGCTCATATTATTCAAAAATTCAATAAGGCTTTACCGATTTTTTATTTATTTATTATTTCATTAGAAGGTGAACATTATCGAAAACTTGATAGATTTAAAATAAAAACAATAAGGGAACAAATATAATGTACAACATTAATAAAATAGTTATCGCTAAAAGTTTTCAGATGTAACATAGTAGGCAAATAGGCCGAGCATCGTCCTCAATATCCTTATATTGAATGGCTTGCATTTTACGTAAAATTAACAATTAATTTAGATTCAAATTTGAGCTTCTCAATATGAAATATACCCTGCAAAAAAAGGAAATGCTAGAACTGATATTTAAAAGATATTTTTGACCGACATTTTTTCAACGACATATGCATATAGGTATATAGTTGCAACATTGTTGTTGTTATTGTTCAGCGTTATATTTGCTATGCATTTTACACTTACATATGTCAACAGAATTTATATACAAAACAGCTCACATATACATACTATAGAATGCGGTTGTATAGAATTTTCAATACACCTTTGAATTTTGTGCCACACTTGGCGGTGGCTGGGATTGCGGCCTAATGGGTGCTGCTCCAGCCCCAGTCCCAGCCACGCCTCCAGCTCCAGCACCACCGTATAGAAAACTTGATTGTCTAATCACAGACACGGTGGCGGCTGCCACACCGGCTTGTGGCGGTGGTGCGGGAGCGCGATGTTTCTTCAGGGGTGCATGAGCAGGTTTTAGAACAGGGATTGCTGTCGATCCACTGGCACTTGTGATGTTGCTTGGGTTGTTGTTGCAGGCAGCGGCACTAATGTTGTTGTTGTTATTATTATTGTTAGGCGGCAGAGCTGAAAAGCGTAGGTTAGACAAATACATAGAATATATACAGGACAGGACATGAGCTCATAATTGAAAGCAAAACCAAGGCGAGCGCCTGTTGGGTAGGCAATGAAAATGTTCAAACTCAACAAATGAAAAAGGGACTTCACCAATTAATGCAAATGCTTATAAATATATAAAAAAGCTGAATTCATGTTCGATTTGTTAAACTTTTGTGGTTTATTGATAATATAAAAAACTTCAAATAAAACAATCTGTGCTCGTTGCTCACTAAGTAGTTAAGTATTCATATACATATTAAATATAATAGAGTAAGCATGCACTTTATAAAATGCCTTTAGACAAGAAACGAAAGCTAAAGCCGTGTATTACCTGTTGTGTATATTGTGTTGGCTTAACAGATAAAGTTTTACGTGTGTGTGTATGAGTGTGTGCCTAGTTTAAACGACGGCTTTCGTAGATTAAATAATAGCGTTGGGCACTTTAGTTCAATTAAATTAAGTAAGATCTTGTATGGTTCAATGTTAGATCAAATTGAAAGAAATTCAAATATAATTCACTTTGGGATTTGACTCGTAAATGCTGTAAGCTTGCAAAAAAAAAAAAACAGATTTCGAATATAAGAACGATTGTAGTGAACTAAAATGCACAACTCTATGAAATAAATGATTTTTATCGTTTCAACAAAATTATAAAGCTATCGACTTTAATTTAATTACATAACATGTTGCATAAATTTCAACGTTGCTAAATTTTATAATTACTTGCGCGTGCAAAAGTACATATGTATGCTTGTGTGTATGTATGTATGTTGGTAGGCGTATAAAAAATTATAAATGTATTTAAAATTAACAAGAGTACAACAATAAAATTAACGTTTGCTTTTCTCTCTTCTGCATACAGTACATATTTTCATAGGGATTTTAAGCAAAAATATCATTAAATAACATGTGCTTGTTTCTTTTTTCATTTAAAAACAATAATAATAATAATACACGGTTTAAAATTAAACGTTTGCACTTATGTCTATGTTCGTTGTACATAGGCGTGTATGTATGCATGTATGTATGTATTTACGATAATTATGTTGGCGTAGGTGTATGCATACAAATAATATACTTAAAAACAATACTTTTTGCATAATAATTAATTATATAACAGCATTCCATATGTGCATATAACAGTATAATATATATATATATATATATATGTATATATAAATATATATGTATGTATATAATAATAAACACAACGGCCATATGATGATTTGTTTTGTTGCTTTGCTGCATGGGTGTATGCGCGCGACCCGCCCCTGCCCAGCTCCCTCCCATAACCCACACGTATACACACACACACACACGTACAGCAGACTACATACCATTGGTTGCCCTTAGCGTGCGACTAGGATAGGCTTTTTGTAAATTTAGAAAAGGAGGCGGCTTGGGAAATTCCGTAACATTGTGAAAACATTTGCCGAATTTCGTTTCCAAATCAATGACCAGACGACCCACTGCATTCGCTGTTGCTGCTCCTGATCCTGTTCCTGCTCCACCCGCCCCTGCCCCTGTTGAGGCGGAACTTGTTGTGTTTGCCAGGCCACTGTTGCTGCCAAAATTGTGGGCAGCATTGGCCATCTGCGTGGGTGGCGTCAATGGCGCATTAGCTCGTATCGAGGAGTGTCGTTGGGGCGGCACGGGGGCCTGTTGCGAGCCAGCCTGAATGGTAATAAATAGACAAAATGTCACAGTTTAGCTTAAGTTCGCATATAGTAGTACAAGTATGTATGTGGGTATGAATGCATATAATGTGTAAACTTATTGGTATTGGCCATTAATTACATTGCGCTTGTAGTTAAGCATCAGCATTTTGATAACCTTGAGCTGGCTTCTGTGAATTTGCTCGCGTTCGCACAGCTGGCGCACCTTATAAAGTTTCTTACACAACCAGCGCTTCACAATCGCACTGGGACATGATTTCGGGGGAACCTTGCGCTAAGCGAGAGTTATTAAAAATTAGACAACAACAAGAACAACACTCATGAAGGACTTTAAGAAGCTTGTTAAGCGCGTATTATTCAAAAGTGTGCCGTGTGTTATTTTTGCAAACCGCCTCTGGCTCTCAATTGTGTGACACTGACCAGGATAGACAACAACAATGTGTTTTGGTCACGTATTGTTGGAAAATCCATAAAGGTAGCCCACATAGAGAATGACGAGAGTCGAAAGCCCGCTCTCTCTCTCTGTTACACTCTCGTTCTCTCTCTGCTTCCTAGTCTTGCCAAAATCGATGCTGTGCCGTGCTAAGCAACCCCCAAAGAAAAGAGCGCATGCATAGGCGAACTAAGAGCAGAAGTTAACGGCGGCCGTCAATGTGTCTGACAACTTGTTGGGCACTGAAGCTGTGATTTCGCGAACTAGTTCTTCTACATTTTTGATTCCATTAAATGTTTAAATAATATTCGCGATAATACTACTTCACTTTAATCCTTAATATTTTTAATAGAGTTTTACTAAAAAAAATCAAATACAAATAATTCTATATCAATATTTATAAGCTTTTGTTTAGCAGAGTTATATCAAAATTCAGTAAATGCTTAAGTATTCTGTAAGAACACCGAAACCAAACCCCCTTTCTCATAGGCCAGAATTTAATTTAATTTTTTTGATGGTGCGGCGGGCTAATCTATAATTCAGTCTAAATTCTTTCGATTCACATGGAAATTTTAAAGCATACAACACCATAATGTCGGAAGCATGACACTATATCAACAAAAGCGACCGCCTCCTCCTGCGTGTTAGATACATTTGGCAAGGGCGTAGGCAGAGTGGGTGTACTGAGAGCTACATACATTTGAACTAAACTAATATTCCCTTTGACTCTTTGGGGGGTACAGGGTATGGAAATGCAAATTATTACTTACATTGCTCGCTTGGCGTTGTGGCGGAGGCGGGGGGCATGTACGATGCGGAGGCAGTGGCAGCGGATTTACTGGACCGCCATTCAATATGATGGGATTGGGTGCCTTATCGCGCACTGATGATGAAGATGACTTGCTTGACTTGAGCAGCTGTGGCGAGCTGTGCGTTGTCGTTGTGCTGCTGCTGTTACTTCTGGCGCTCAGCGCCGACGGTGGTGGCGGCGGTGTCGTTGGCGTCGCTATGCTGCCTACCCGGAACTGATCACGCAAGGCGGCCACGCTGCTCGTCGAGGAAGAATTGGAGGGCGGTTGGGTGATGGGCGGCGAGGGCGCTTGGGTCGTTGCGCTGCCCACGGCCTGCACCAGGGTTGTGTTGATGGCGCTAAACGGCGCGGCGATGCTGCTCAAATTGCTGTTTGAAACGCTGCGCGCCGGCGTAGGTGGTGGCGGTGGTTTAACCGATGGCCGATCTGTTGAAAATGTTGATTCGTGATTAGGATATATAGATTTATGCATATATATGACAGTGGGATTCTTACTCTTTGGCGGATTGGGTGCTGTACGCATGTTGCTAATGGTCTCGTTCGATTGGAAATGCAGCTGCGATTGAAGAGGGGCGCGCATTGTGCCGAAATGTTGATTTGAAAAGACGCCTCCATTGCCAATATTGGACACGGGTGGAGATCTAAGAATACGCAATTAGGAGTGAATTAGAGGTTAGTTCCTTTACTTATTTTTTTTTTTTTTTCAATATATAAAAGGTCACCTAATTAGCTTGTACCGTCATACATATAACCTAAAGCTCTACCTTAAAGGTAGGCCATATAGCGGTAGTAGAGAGACATGTGTAAAATATTTTTTTATTATACTATACTTCTATATCGATAGCGAGCTATTATCATTTGATAAATAGGTGAAGGAAATGTGTGGTCGCTTTACAATTGGAGACGATTTCAAACAAAGGGGGAAAAGCGCAAAACTGAACTTAAACTCCGAAATTTAAGAAAGCGAGTCAAAATTATTTTATAATATTTGTGATTTGCAGGCCTTCAACAATATTTTAAGAGCTCGCTTAAAAACGAAGACCTTAGGATGTCAGGCTATAAATAAAAAAATATTGAGAGTTCATTTAAATTGTTAAATAATAGAACTTCCAAAATTTTTGCAACAATATGCGGGACAAGGATTTCAGATTTTGTATTCCTTGTACAAATTGAATTATTTTTATCCAGACTTTTTCAAATGGGTACTAAACAAATTTAAAGAAAATTGCTGTTTTTATAAATTCAATATTATAGATATGGCCACATCTGGAGAGTGCACTTAAGCTATGAATTAAGGAGAAATCAAGCGGTACTTTACCAAGCCATACTCAAAATATAAATCTACATGATAAAGAAAAAGAGCTATCACCAACTTAAATAGAAATTAGTGTTAAATTAGGCATCTAAGGTGCAGCATATTTTGTCCCTTAGAAGCGAATGGAAGCCGCAGCACGTGCTTTGTTTTTTTGGCCACATTTGTATATGAGATGTAGTATAATACCTGGGCGATTTCATGCTGTGATGTCGTGCAACCGCCGGACGCTGCTGCCCATTAGCCAGGGACAGGCCCGGTGGCTTGGGCGCAAAGTTAGGCTTGCCAAAGTTGATGGCCGGCTTCTGTTGTGCTTCTAGTTTTTGTTGTTGTTGTTGCTGTTGCTGCTGCTGTGGCTGTTGCTGTTGCTTGGCCAGCGTGGGCGAGAGCGAGGGCGATTTTTGCTCTAAAACATTAGCATTTGCACCACCGCTACCGCTACCGCCACCGCTAACACCACCTCCACCACTACCGAAAAGCGTTGACTTATTGGGCGCCAAATTGCGCAGCGAGCCCGTCGCTGAGGAATCGCGTTTGCTTGGGGATAATGCGGTTTTGGTAGATGTTGATGTTGTTGTTGTGGTTGTAGTTTTTGAAATCGAACTATTTACAAAATTATTGCCTAACGAGATACTGGATGGTAGGAACATTTTGTTTGGTTGGATGGTGCGGTTGGGTTTAAACATAAAAATTCCCGGCAACAGAAATGAAAGTAAACAAAATATACAAAATTAACAAAATAATGAAATTGAAAAATCGAAAACTTTTCACCAGACCCCTACCCTGGCTATGAGTTTTAAATGCTCAGTACTTACTTTAGATTGGCCGCTTTGCTTCGGACGCTGCCGCTACTAATGCTCGTGCTGCTACCGCTCTCCGAAAGCGTGGGCGATGCGGATTTGGCTGTGGCTGTTGTGTTCGTGGGCTCCGTGCGGGAAATGTTCATGCGGTCCAATATCGAATCGCTGGAGTTTTGCTGTGTGTCGAATTAAAGAACATATTTCTCAAGTAATACAACCCAATTGATAATTCTTAATGTGTGGATATTTCAATTGGAGATTGGCGCCTATTGTAGTTTTTTACAATAATTTATCTAAATAAAATCTTCTCTACTCCCCTCTTTATAGTTAAAAGTAATGCCATGAAATTGTGTTCTTAAAAGCACTTTCCAAACATACATATATAGGGTGTCAATATTTATACCCTGTACCCAAAGGGTGAAAGGGTATTCTTAACTTGTACGAGAGTATGTAACACCCAGAAGTAGGCGTAGTATTGAACATTTTGTATTTAATGCAATTAATTAAATTATTTTAATTTATTTAAATAAATTAAACAATTTTTTTTTTTACATATTTTTGTCTTTTTGTAGGAGTGGGTACAGCGTTTATAAAAGTTGAGCTCGCTCGACTCTAGCAATCCTTTCCTTTTCAGATTAAGAAACTTTTCTCAATTCCACATTTACTAAAATTTCGCCCAACAATTCCCTTATCGGAAAATAAATAAATTTAAATACATTGTAGAGTGATAGAAAGGAACAGACAGTTTTAGTCACACATTTTATATCTTCGGATATGTAGGATTAGATCATAATATGTACATATGTATACTACTCATGTTTAGTGACTTTACCCTCTTGAAGGTTAATATTGTATTACGTTTAGAGCTGTATTTGTGCTTCGAAACCTTATGATCCTTAATACTGATCCCCAGGGGTACAGGGGTCATCTCTATCTGAACGGTGAGATCTTCTACTCACTTTGGCGAATAAGAACAAGTTTAGGTGTTTTTTGAGGTCCTCCCCCCTTTTAGTATTAAAGTATCTATCTACAGTGAGCTCAGTTGCTTGTTGGGGATCTACTACTCACCTTTGGTGGCTGCGGTGGTGGCCCACGATTTGTTCTCAAATTTGCTTCGGTTGCATTGATATGTGTGCTAGATGTTTGTTGTTGTTGTTGTTGCTGTTGTTGCTGCTGCTTTTGACGCTTCAATGTTAAATGCTTGGTGAGCTCAGTGTTAAAGTCCATGGGACCATTGCTGCTAGAGCTGCTGTTGCTCACAGCGGTGGGGGGGCTATTACTGCGCGCTGCGTTCGTTGTGTGATTCGTTGTTGTTGTTGTGGCTGCTGCTGCGGGCGCTGTTATTTATAGTTGTTGTTGGTGTGTGGGCGCGCACATGCCAAAGCGGAAATCAATTGAGCAACATGCTTGATACCAATTTGCATATTCAACTTACCGCGACAGCCATTCACGGGCTTCAGTCTTGGCATCTCGGACAGGCCTTCGAATAGGCCGCCCAATTTGGACCCACCATTGCCAGTGCCAATGCTATTGTTGTTGTTGTTACTGCTCGTGTTATTATTGACGGTGCGTTTGGGCGCCGTCGTCGTACCTTTGCCGCCCTCGGCTCCACACACGCGGCCCGACAGCGCTGGTCCACTTTTGTCCACGGTCGTGGTCTTGCGCAGCTTGGTACCCTTCTGTATGGAGCTGAGAAGGGCAGAGCGAACATCAGCACCACCGCCACTACCACCCAACTTTAGACCGCCCATGGCAGGCGGCGGAGGCGGTCCTGGCGGCGGTGGTGGTCCAGGGGGAGGCGGTATGGCCATCTGTAAGCAAACAAAATTATCCCTTAGAATAGCACGCAATCAGATTGATGCTCCTAGTTTACTTTTTTGCAACTGGTACGTCGCAGCAGTCGCATTTTATTTGAACAATATGGTACAACGCTGCGACTGCTTCGACGTGGCTTTAACTCAAGACTGGTCGCGAGCTTAGGAAGCGCTTGTCGCGCAGCCGCAGTAAGCGCTGCCACCACCCACATGTTATTAATAAATTTTCTATACTTACAGCTTAAAGAAAAAAATTATTTATGTGTGTCTTGTCTTGTCTCACACCGAGATTGACGCTTCGATAAAGACAAAGCGCAAACAGCGCGTAAAATAAAGCCGCAAAACAGTTTGAGAGGCACTGTGAACGACACCGGCCCACAAGCTCTGACAAAGCCTACGTACTTTTCCCAAACATATTACACATTTGTATATCAACCATAGTTCGAGTGTGTCTTTTATATAGATTTATGGCTGGTTTTAATTAATTAGTTTTTGTTGTCATCGTTCAACTTTAACAAGTAATGTGTGATACTCTTACAAAATGAGACCTCTGATTTTATGATGCGACTAATCGGTTCTGTATAAAGTCAAGAATATCGAATGTGAACATAACAAAAACCATTTTAATGGGCTCAAGTAAATCGGGCAACCCGATAAAAAGTTAAAGACTACAAACAGACATTCTCCTTAATTAAAACGGGTTTGTTTTGGAAAGTGGATGACCAAGCCCATTTTTGTAGAGGTGGCCCATGTGGGCTATATTTTAACAAGATTTTATAACTCAATCTGTAAAAATTGAGTTATTTAAGCTAAAGTAATCCATAATTTGCAAGTGTTTTTTCTGTCATTGTGAGCTCAAAAAACTAACATTGAATACGAATTTTTGTGAGTATATGGATTACCATTTAGGCATATATTATTGTCGCATACAATATAACTTCCATATCAATGGAAATTATTCCTTAAGTGCTGACTTAACTTTAGCATGTGTTTAATTTTTTGTTAAGTATACTTTTAGGTAATTTAGAGTCCATTAACATTTTTGAGCATATAGTTTAAGAAAATGAAACTTACTCTGTTAATACAAAGAAAAAAGACTAATCGAAAAAGTTCATTAACATTTTTGATATTCAACATAAAATACAAACATGATTTTAAAGTCTAAGTGATTGGCAAGTATGAAATGGAACCAGAACAATTTGGTATTTACTTCACGCTTTCTTTTTCTATAGTGTATAATTTTAGCGCACTAGTAAGTGGTCACATTAAAAAAAACGAGTTTAAGAAATTAATCGCAAACATTTTATCACATTTCTAACGTTTCAGATTTGGCATGAATTTGATTTAATGTTTTATTTAATTTCGACAGTATCGCTCTTTATTGTTTTTTCGCGCCAAATTTTAATTTAAATAGTAAAAGTGGCCGGTTCACTTTTCCCTTATCTTGTAATAAGAAAGAATAACTGTTAAACATTTCACTTTCTTGACCCAAACCAAGAGGTTTCATCTCAAGAAATATGTATAATTATAATGCTTAGTTAGTTTTAAGCTGAATAGAATTTTTTTAATGTGTTTTTGCACAGATTTTCAATGATATTCCAAAATTGTCAAATTTATAAAATATGCAATACTTGTAACTATGTGCTTACAGCCGCCCAAGAGGCTTTAATCACTGAGTTGTTACGCAAATTGTATTTTTTTAGTTTTTATTAAGCTCGGTAAAATTTCTGCACAAACTCTCAAGAAAAAGACTTTTCTTGGTAGGTTACTACATTTTCGGTTTATATCGGCAGCGTTGTTTTTGATTAGATAGGAAATTTATTCACAACAACAATTGGCTTACATTTTATTTCAAATGGGTTTTTTCGTTACAATCATAATTATTTTCTGGTAGATAGGAGCTTTTATATTGTCACATATGCATATTAAGAAGTCTTAAATTAGATATAAAAAGATAAGCACCGTTAACACTTTTTGTATTCAAATGTTGCTCCTTTGTACAAGTAAGAAGTACCTTGCACTCGGCTTGGGCCGACAAATTTAATGTTCGTCGCTGTCGCTTGAAATTGTCAAAGCTAAAGTCATAAACGCAAATGCTTCTCGAGCATGCAAATTTTTGTTTTTGAAAATTACGCGCACAGCTCGTTTAAAATTTACTCGATTAATATGCTGAAAGCGTTGAACGATCAAGTTGAGTCATCAAACAAATAAGCAATGAGCTCAACATTTTGTTAAGTCATACAGTCGACATACAGATTTAATTCAGCTATCAAAACAAACTTGTAATATTGGCAAATAAACGTACTTTAGCTAAGCACAAAGAATAACAGTTTTTCACTCTTTCTTAAGCTTATTTTCTCAGATTTTGTTTGAAACACGTACCGTGGAAATATACAGAAATGAAATAAAAGCGCGCGTTGCTCTCACCTCGCAAGTCAGACGCGAACTGCAGTTGAAAAACGGGCGCGCATGCGATACCGCAATTCAAAGCATAAACGGAGAGCGACAAATAAGCAACGAGCTACGTAAGAGCGTAAGCGAGCGGCAAAACGATACCACGCGTCGTCATCGGTAACGCCACGGTAAGGCGTTGGGGTTGACTTCGGCGGAGACATCAGATTATGCCGAGCTGCCGCCTATGGAGCGAATTTGAGAGAGCAAACGTTTACAGAATTAGCTGTTAAGGTTAACAAGACACACACGGTGAAGTGGTGGGGGGTAAGCTAGAGAGCAGTCGCCTGTCATTGTTGACGATATTTACGCTGTTTCAATATAAAACCACAACCTACCTAACCACAGGAAATGCATGGGCCAGTTGAAATACTTTTAATATACATATGTATGTAGTTTCGTATCAGTTAGCTTTTATAAAATCCCACATTTCAGTGGTTTTCTTAACGAAATATGAGGTCAAGGGATACACAACAACGAAAGTTGCACTTTGTTTGGCAATTAAATGATAATTCAAAAAGTTGTAAGATATGCGTCGCAACAAATACATGCGTATGTACATATGTATCGTCATCTTAGAAAGAGGCATCCCTGAAGAAGACGACAACCCAGCGACTTTTCAACACCTGTCACTTTTTCGCATTTGTCAAGTGCACACCGCAATAAGCTTAAAACGGCTGCCAGACAGATGATCATCTCGTTGATCGTATGCGTGATGATGTTGTTGTTGTTGTTGTTACTGACAAAAACAAGTTGACTTTACTTAAACAGTAACTTTGTGAGAGTGCTGCCGACTGGTCGGCTGGAAGGCAATTCACTCTCTGAGCGTGCGAAAAACGCTTTCAGTCTTACCTGAAGTGGTCAATATGGTTGAGTCATTAACTGGCACAGTGGGTCAAAATAAGCTTATAGTGCCGAACTTGCATCTGTCGAGCGCAGCTTATGGTCTGCTGCAGTCAAGAATGGGAAACTGGAAAGCCCCCTTAAAAGCCATAAACTTAAATTGGCAAACAGTGCAGGTGAGTCATGCATCGAGTCAGCATCAGTCAAAACGATAACGATGAGCCTCAGATGAACAGCTTCGAGTTATTCATTTAATACCAGCGAACGTAACCCTTATTAAATCCCTCAGAACTCAGAGCATATTTATACGTACGTACATACATATGTATGTACTTATACATATAGTACGAGTACTTACGGATATAAATTTGTACAATCTTTAGTCAGCAGAATGTAAATAAAGGGGGATATGTTTGCCGGTAAAAATGTTCGTCATATCAGTCAAAACGATAACGATGAGCCTCAGCCGTAACCGTAACCCTTATTAAATCCCTCAGAGCATATTTATAAGTACGTACATACATATGTATGTACTTATACATATAGTACGAGTACTTACGGATATAAATTTGTACAATCTTTAGTCAGCAGAATGTAAATAAAGGGGGATATGTTTCCCGGTAAAAATGTTCGTCATATTTGCAATATCTCTTGATTTCATGTGCATACATTTGCCATTTCACATTGAGCTAATTTCCTGAAAAGTTTCTACCCAGGAACAAATTATTTTGCTAGGTCTAAAAACATGTCGTTGTAGGGTTGACGCTAAATACAATGAAATCTCAACATTTTTCTGAATATATATCGATTTTAGTAAAGAAAAAGAAAGGAAAGCTAAAGTCGAGCAGTCTCAGCTCTTAAATACCCTGTAACACCCCACAAACAAAAATTTATTTAAAAAATTTAATTAAATAATTAAATAGAATCTGGATACCAAGTTTGGTTATTCTAGCTCTTATACATTCTGTGTTCCTTGTACACTAGCACAAAACTAATATACCCTTTTACCCATTGGGTTCAGGGTATAAACTTCTAACTACACACATAAATAAAATGATGTGTTCAGTGTTAGGCTTCTTGCTGATTTACAATCCACAATCAGCCGGCAAGGGTAAACAGATTTATCATATACATAATATATTTATTATTCCGTTACTTATGATTCAAAGCTCAAACAAAATACATATACTTGTAGTATGGTTTTCTGCGAAAATATGTAAATACACTAGCACGTCACACGGGATGTTATTGTTTGTATAGGAGCTTTTCGGTTGTACGTTTCAATTTATCCACAAAACTTTATATATTTATACTTAATATGTGCGTAGGTTTTTTTTCTTTTTTTATTTCCACTAAGCTATTTCTGCAGATATATTTCTGCATCGGTAATGACCGTTTTGAAAAACAAACGGCCGTTCGACGCTAACTGTTTGCATTTTCTTTGCCTTGCTTCAACCGCACATTCAGATATGCCTATCTCTATTTAGCAAAATATTATTTTATTAGGATGTTTGGAAAACAGACTAGGATCACCTAATCAACTTACATGTCCAAATCGCTAAATATTCCATTCCATACTTCATACTCATCCTTGAAACATTATGTCACTTTAAATGACATCAAGGCAATATTACTCGGAGGTAAGCTGTTCCCTGTGCAGCATTCACTGTATTAGATCCGAAGTAGGTTTTCTTTTTGTTAAA